CTCATTTGCAAAGCCCCGTTTGCCATGCTGTTAGTGTGAGGATACCTTTAGGGGCTGTTGTTCAGCTGAGCACACTGGGTTTCTCTGTCCCTAGGCTTCACATATTTCTTGCAGGAGGACTTGGGTCCCTCCTGGTTAACTGGCACAGATGGAGCTGCCTTTGAAAGTCCACGGCTCCCGTCAAATAAAGACCTTGAGGCTTGACCCGTTCAGCGGCTGGCTCACCGCCCAGCATTTACTGAGCTGCCTTCTCTGGGCCAGGCCCGGGCGGAAAGCTGCAGGGAAAAGAGGGGCCATGGGCTCAGGGACACGGGGGTCAGATGTGGTCCCTTCCTGCTCAGAGCTGCGGTTCTCCACAGCCCGTTAGCATCTCCTGGGAGCTTTACAGGAATCCGACACTCAGCTGCCCCAGACCAAGTTCATCCGCCTCCCTGAAGGTGGGCTCGGCATTGGCAGTTGGGAGAGTCCCTTGGGCATTCTCAGGTGGCCAAGGTTCAGAGCGCTGTTCCAGAAGCTCAGAATCAGGCAGAGGGAAAAACACATCAATGCCAGAAATGGAGTTTGACATGCCCTTGTTTCAGCAATAGCTAACACGCACTGCTCACTGCTGGGCCAGGAGCATGTCCTCTCTGAACCCTCCTAACAGCGTCGTAGGGTGGCAGCTGTGACCACCCCATTCTGCAGGGGACTCCAGTGAGGCCCGGATCACGGTCAGTGAGTGCCGAGGTCACCCTTCAGCCACAGGCACTCTGGCTCCTGAGACCTGTCCTCATCTGTCTTCCAGAACTCTCTATCACACTTCTTGGGAAACAAGCTGAGGTCACTTTCTGCTGAAACTTCCTAACCTGTCTTGTGACCCCTACTCTGTGGAGTAGGAAAGGAGGGACCATGGGAGCCGCCCTTGGTGACAGTTGCTAGCCCGGTAGGATGACACAGGAGACAGGAGCTGGCCCCCAAATGCAGGCGCTGGGCTAAGCCCCCACCTGCCCCATCCTCAGGACCACCCATGTGCCACCCCGCTGCCTTCCTGTGCGCCAGAGCCCACACAGATGGGGCCCTGCAGGGTGCCTTTCTGCTGCTAGGAAAAGGTCGACCGGCCCTGGGATGTCGGCAGAGCGAGCATATCAAAGCCCCTGGAATTAAGAGGTTTTCCCATTGAGTGGGATTTCACAGCCCAGTGGCCAATTTCTAAGTCATGCACGTTAATGGGCAGCTAATGAGAGAGCCAGGCAGGGGCAGAGAGGTGCCAGGAGCTGAGAGGAAAGAGTACAAAGCCCCAGTGCAGCTTCAGGGGCGGCTGAGGGGGAGAAAGCAGGAGGTGGGGCTGTACTGGAAAGGCTGGGGGAGCCTACACCTACCCAGCTGGCTGCTGCCCGGGCTCCACCTGCTACCCCTCCCTCCCCGCCCTGCGCCACGCCAGCCTCAGATCCTGGTGCAATAAGAAAGGCCTTTCCCAGGTGCCCCGACCTGGGTCTCCACCAAGGGTACCCTGACTCCAGGACACCTCAGCCTTCCTGGGAACATTGGCTCATCCCCCGGGCTGAGCCTTTGAACAGGGACTCACCACTCCCCTGAATGTCTCCCCTGGCCACCTTTTCCAAAAGGTGCATAGATGTCTCAGCTCCCAGCACCTCTTCCAAGAAGCTCCTCCAGATTTCCCTCCCTCCTGAGTCTCATGGTCCACTCCCTCTCCCGTTGGACTGTGGTTATTGTCTGCTCCCTCCTCCAGAGCAGAGACTTTCTCTTTCACCTCTGAATCCCCAGGGCCTGGCATCAGTAGGTGCTCAATCAATTCATGTTTGTTGAATGACTGATTGAGTGATTGAGAACACAATCAGACTCCAGATATGTGGGGTGCAGTGTGCTGAACGGTGAGCCGTAAAAGATACATTCATGCCCCAGAGCCTATGAACATAGTCTTATAGAGGAAAAGGGTCTTTGCCGTATAATTAAGGATGTTGAGATGAGATCATCCTGGAATATCTGAGGGGTCCTAAATCCAATGAGCACTATCCTTGCAAGGAAAGGGGAGGACACAGACACAGAGAGAGGCCACTTGAAGAGAGAGGCAGAGATTGGAGTGATGTGGTTACAAGCTAAGAAATGCCTGGAGCCCTAGCTGGTGTGGCTCAGTGGATTGAGCCAAAGGATCGCTGGTTCAATTCCCAGTGACATGCCTGGGTTGTGGGCCAGGTCCCCAGTGGGGGGCACGCAAGATGCAACCACACATTGAAGTTTCTCTCGCTCTCTTTCTCCCTCCCTCCCCTTCTCTAAAAATAAACAAATAAAATCTTTTTAAAAAAAGAAATGCCTGGAGCCTCCAGCAGCTGGAGGAGGCAGGAAGGACTTTTCCCTGGAGCCTCTGGAGGCAGCGCAGCCTTGCCCACCCTGTGACTGCAGACTTCTGACCTCCAGACCTGATACATTTCTGGGTTTTAATTTTTTTAAATTTATTTTGGGAGAGAGGGGGAGAGAAAGATTTGTTGTTTCACATGTTTATGCATTCATTAGTTGATTCTTGTATGTGCCCTAGCTGGGGATTGAACCTGCAATCTTGGCATATCAGGACGATGCTCTAACCAAACGAGCTAATCAGCCAGGGCTAAACTTCTGTTGTTTTAAGCCCCCCAGCTTGTGATAATTTGTGACAGAAGACCCAGGAGATTAACGCATGGGGGAAGCCATGGGACTTTCCTGTTTCTCTCTTTCCCGGAGTCTGTGTGTGCATCCCGCCATCTGTTCCTTCGCTCCCTCCCTCCTTCCCTCACTCACTCATTCAGCACTTCCTGTCCAGGGCGCTCACAGTCAGTCAGGGCAGGGGGTGAGAGACAATGTGACATGGCAGACTTTGAGATGACACACACTTGGGGCTGAATCCCAGTCCTGTCACTTTCCAGTCATGACCTTTTAAGACACTGGCTTCACCTGCCTGGGCCCAGTTCCTGCTCAGTTTGATGCACCCCCTTGGGACTGGCTGTGAGCATGCCCGGCACTGCTGCGAGCGAGCGCTGTTCCCAGCGAGTGCTGCTCCCCTGGTGTTGGCTCACGTACTGCCGGAGCCCAGGCCCAGCTCTCAGCTCCTTGGCCGCAGTCCTGGTCCCGTCTCACCAGTGCATGCCGGGAGGCCAGCCACGCTACAGCTCAAGCTTTTATTGATCATACACAAAGATACGAAGAGAGTTGGCTCAAGGAGGTAACACAGTCAGGAGGTTGAGAAACCACAGGGAGAAAAAGCTGGGGGCCCATCTGGTGGCCGACAGATAAGAGCTGATTGAGTGAGACTCTGGGCATTGAAGATGTTTAACGTAAAACAGCAGTTCCCAGAGTGCGGTTCCGACCCAGCTCCATCAGCACCATCTGGGAGCTGGTTAGAAAAGGAGATTCTTAGACCCCACCTCAGACACACTGAATCAGAAATGCTAGGGATGGAGCCCCACAATCTGTGTTCGAACACACCCTCAAGGGACCTTGCACCCTGGCTAGTGAGGCCCAGTGGATTGAGCGCTGGCCTGCAAACCGAAAAGTCGCTGGTTCAATTCCTGGTCTGGGCACACACCTGAGTTGCAGGCTAGGTGCCCAGTCGGGGACGTGAGAGAGGCAACTGATCGATGTTTCTCTCTCTCTCTCTCTCTCTCTCTCTCCTCCTCCTCCCTCCCTACTCCCCTCTCTACAAAGAAATAAATGAAATCTTTTTTAAAAAATGGGGGAGGGGAACTCTGAGCCTGGGTACCAGGGATAAACACAATCAAATCTAAACTCAAAATCTGGCCTTCATGGGCCTATATTTTCCAGAACACAACCATTTTGTATACTCTGCCATCTTAACTGACAGTGTGTGGGGTCAGATTGGTGGTCTCTACCTAAAGTGTGGTCTGGGGACCAACAGCACCGTCCTCCCCGGAGCTTGGAGAAATGTGGAATCTCTTCTCCTCTCGGGGGGGAATGAATAGGAATCTGTATTTCAACAAGATCCTCAGGAGCTTCTGTACACGTTCAATTGGGGAGCATCTAAATGAAGCACCTGCTGCCTGCCTAGGCCTTTGTGTGCCTCAGTCTACCGCTTCCTGCATGCCCCTGCGAGTTGGCATGCGGACCCCCTTGTGCGGATGGGAAACTAGGCTGACAGATGCTGAGCTCCAAGCCCTTTTCCTCAGACCTGGGGGGTCTCAGAAAGGCACGGAGGGAGGAGGCACTGGAGAAGCAGACCCCATCCGGCAGGAGACCAGGTGTGCTCCCTTGATCTCTCCCAGCTGAGTTCCCTCTCACCCTCCCTCAGGGAAAGCCCCGCCCACAGGGAGGGGCCTGCACTGGGATGTGGGAGGGGAGGGCGTCTTAAGATTCCCTGTCTCAGGCCAGAAGTCTCAGAAGCTGCAAGTTCTTGGAACAGATGGCCCTGACTTTATGTCCCTGTCACCCTAGGTTTTGGGACATGCCCCAAACACATGCTCTTTAGGGCTCCCTCAGTTCATGACCCATTACCTACCCCAGCAGAGCTAGAATCTTCCTTCTTCCACCCTGCGAGGTCCAAGAAATGCAGCTGAACTCGCTGGAGCGAGCCTGAGTCCCTGTCCATCCGTGGTGGCCAAGGAGGGTCTCCCACCTTGAAGTTCGCATTTGGTGGTAAGGACGGGGTCTGTCAGGGGACTGGGGGAGGGGCGACAGCAGTGGGGGCAGGAAGGAGTTGAGGTCTGGAAGATAAGGGAGGGGAGGGGAGGCCTTGGGTTGAGTGGGAGGGCAGGAGTAACGAAAATAGGGAGAAGGCTAGAGGGGAAGGGGTGGGGGCGACATTTCTTGAGGTGAAAAGCGGTGAGGCTCAGAGGTGCGCAGGGCCCCGGGAGAGCGGAGGCGCAGGAAGAGGCAGATGGCAGCTTGGGGGTGACAGATGCACAGCTCTGACAACTGGGGAGAGAGACCTGTCCCAGGCAGGGAATGATACCATCTATGAACTGGGAAGAAAGTGCAAGGACTGTCCCCTCTCCACCCCTCTGCTGCTTCTAGCTATGGAGGGACAGACCCCTGCAAGCAGAGGCCTTTCCGCAAAGCCCGCGACTGCCAGCCCCAGCCTGTCCTCTCTGGGCGCCGTCTTCATCCTCCTGAAGTCGGCGCTGGGGGCTGGCCTGCTCAACTTCCCCTGGGCCTTCCACAAGGCCGGAGGGGTGGTCCCCGCCTTCCTGGTGGAGCTGGTAAGCCCCTGGGAAGTATTTGGGGGGGTCTCCTGGGGCAGGACCCAAGCGGGATCCTGGGGCGTGGGTCTGCAGAGCTGCCTGTCTTAGAAACTACACCTCTGGGGATGGTGTTCTGCCCGCTGAGCTCCTGAGAGAAGGTAACTATAGACATGGGCCGAGAGTATCCTCCGCCTTCATGGGGCTGCTCCCCGCCAGGCCTGGGAGGGCCTCGGCACAACACCCGGATCCAGTGAGCCTGGCGTTTCAGCTGGGACAGTGCGGAGAATCGCAGTGTCTGAGCAACCGTCTGGCCAAGTGACTACTTGCCTGCTGGTCCCAGCTCTGTAACTAGAGCTCCGGTGCACGTGCAGATCAGCCAGGGCTAAGGCTGCCTGTGACCCCCATACTGAGCTGCCCAGGCCCGCTGCCGTGTCAGAGGTCGTCAGCCACTTCTGCGGGCTGCATTCCAGGCTTAATTCTTTTTCCAGAACGTCCAGGGGCAGAGAACCCCTGATTAGCACAGCTTTATTTTATTTGCAAAGATTCCTTCTGGCTAATAGGAGCCCCTGTGTTTTGTGGGAAGCTCTTTGACGGGCATCCCAAACACTTGTTAATGGCAACCAGTCGATAAAGGTCCTGTTCCGACCATTTGTAAGACATAGGGCTGCATACAAAAAGTCAAATACGATATTTCAGATGGCGGGGAGTGTTAGGAGGGTCGTATGACAGAGGGGTGGAGCAACATGACAGGCGCTGGGCGGAGAAGGGCTATCTGCGGAGGTGACGTTGAGCTGGGCCCCAGTGGAAATGGCAGAACTCGTCCAGGTGCGTGAGAGGGGCAACAGAGCCGTGTTTGGGTGCGTGCAGCAGAAAGGCCGCCCTGGGACGACAGGGAGGAAGAAGCGTCGTCGGCAGCCACGAGAGCTCATGCTAGGCCACGGCGCCGCAGGGAAGGGGCTGTGGCTAGCGGAGGTGGCCAGTCCAAGGTTGGCAGGCAGAGCTGTGGGTGCCCCCGCTCCTCACACTTTGTGCAGCACCTCCTGGGCACCTGCGGAAATGCAGATGCTGATTCAGCAGGGCTGGGTGGGTCTGAGACTGTGCGTTTCTGATGAGCCCTGGGTGACGCGGCTGCCGCTTGCCAGTGTGCCTTGTGCATTGTGTGGTGTGGCCTACAGACAAGAATAAGGGAAACCCTGGGCAAGAGTAATGGGCACACTGCCGCTCCCCTCCTCTTAGCCAGTGAGACTTCTGTCCCATCCCCTTTACAAGGTGCCGACTCAGGCTGGGGGAGCATTTAAACATCCCACCACCAGGAGGTCAGTGGTACGAGGCTGTTGGTCTCTCGTGACCCCCTTAGCACTGGAGGATTACTGCAACTCAGCGACCCTCGACCCCTTCTTAGAAGCTGCAGAGGCGGAGCCGGGGCCTCGGGGGATAAGGGCTCTTTGCTGCCCTGCTGCTCAGAGGCTCAGGGTCCCTCTGTCCCTACCTCCCTTCCCTTTGTCCAAAAATATCTACTTAGTGCCTGCTATATGTCAGGCACTCTTCTGCGGGCTAAATGTTAGCGAAAAAAGACGCAATCTCAGTCTTCCCAAAGCTCAGAGACCCCTGCTTGACCGAGGACCACGCGCTGGGCAGCTTAAAACAACGGACTCGCATCCTCTCACAGCCCTGGGCACTGGGAGTCTGAAAGCAAGGTGTCAGCGGGGACTCCGCTCCCTCTGGAGGCTCCAGGAGAGCGTCCTTCCTGCCTCTGCCAGCTCCTGGTGGCCTCAGGCATCCCTTGGCTGGTGGCCAGATCCCTCCAACCTCTGTCTCACCATCACACAGCCTCCTCCTCTATGTTTTCTCTTCTGTCTCGCATGAGGCACCTTCCATTGGATTTCAGGGTCACCCAGATGGTCCAGGGTGGCCTCACCTCGAGGTCCTGAATGACACCTGCGAAGACCCCTTTCCATTTCATTACATCCACAGGGACCGCCCAGTGAGCCACCTCCACAGGCTCCGGAGCTGAGGCTATGGACTTGCCCCCCGCGGGGCTGCCATGCAGCCCAGTGCAGGCACAAGTGCACCCAGGCAGGCCTGGCTCTCGCAGAGCCTTGGCTGGGGGGCAAGCGCACCTCGGGGTGAAGTGTCAGGGAGGCTTTTCTGGAAAGCCCTTGGAGAGGAAGGGGGACAGGAGTAGGCATTCCCCAGGCAAGGGGCAGGGGCGCAGGTGGGAGGGCGTTCCAGACGGAGAACCGGGGTAGGCCAAGGTCCTGTGCTTGGAGGAAGCCATGTGTCCCTTCTGACCCTGAAGGTTCACCTTCCATTCACACAGTTCAATTAGGTGCTTCTCAGCGGCTGTCCTTGGGGCTTCTGAACTAACTCAGAACAGAGCTGTTTGTCTAGGGGCAGGACCTGCGTCTAAAGACAGCCACCCTGGCCTCCTCCAGGCCCCTGGGCTGCGCACATCCCAACTCTTGCTCTGCTCTCTTCCCCAGAACCGGTGGTGGGGGCAGTGCGTTGAGGCCTGGAGACCAAGTTCAGCTTGGGTACTGGCAGGTGTGGGTCCTGGAGAGACTCAGAGCCGTTGAACTCTGTGTTCAATGTGGGGCTCCCATAGCAGCAATGGGGTGTCCAGTGACACAGACACTTGGAAAGCAGTGTGGCAATTTCTTAGGGTTAAAAGCACGTCTACCGTCTGACCCAACCATTCTCCAGAGCATGTGTCCAGAGGGACAAAATGTCCGTCCTCAAAATGGCTTCTTCACGAGTGCTCAGCACTCTAATCACAGTTGCCAAAAACTAACAACGGCCCAGATGCCTGTCAGTGGGAGACTGGATGAAGCAGCTGCAACTGTATCGGCACAACGGAGTGGCACCCTGCAAAAGCAGGGGTAACATGTGCTGCATCCAGTATGGCTGGACCTCACCAACAGGACCCCGAGCGGAAGAAGCCAGATATGGAAAATATGTAAAAGTAGAAAAATACTAGATCAGCGGTTTCTTCTGGGGACAGAATGGGGGCAGAAAGTGACCAGGGAGGGACAAGGGGGGCACTTCAGCTGTGTGAACGCTCTGTGTCTTGATAGAGGTACGCTTGCTGTGTCTCTTTGGGTGATACGCTTTTATACATGCAGCCTGTGCAATTTTAGCACAGTCATTTAGACTCTGCGTTTCCGATGCGTCCTTTGTCTGACTGGGCGGAATGGTATGTATGACTCCCAGATAAAAGAGTGATGGCCAATGAGGCCTCGACAATCCACCTGCTCTGCTCAGGGCAGGGGAGAGGCCCCCAGGCCGTAGGCAGCTGTGACCTCTGCCGGTGAGAGGCCCAGTGGAGGGAGCCATATTGAAGTCCCCAGGGGCAGCTGGCTGCGGTGGTGGCCCGTGGGAGCACCCTGGCTCACAGTCCTGCTCTGCAGGTCTCCTTGGTCTTCCTGATCAGCGGGCTGGTCATCCTGGGCTATGCCGCCTCCGTCAGTGGCCAGGCCACCTACCAGGGCGTGGTTGGGGGGCTGTGTGGACCTGCCATCGGGAAGCTGTGTGAGGCCTGCTTCATCGTCAACCTACTCATGATCTCCGTGGCCTTCCTCAGGGTGATCGGGGACCAGCTGGACAAGCGTAAGTACCTGCGTTGCTGGGGGCGGGGGGGCGGTGTCCTCAGGGATCGGTGCTCCTTATGTCCCTGGGGCTCCTGGTTGATGAACAGGACGTGGACACTGAGCTGGACCCTGGGGGGACAGCAGAGACCGAGACCACCCCTGAGCTCCTAACGTCCTGGAGAAGGGAGACTTGGAGTTAGTGATTACCAGCGCGGCGAGAGTCATGACGGCAGAAGAGAGCTGTGGCTGGAGTGCCAGTGGGTCAGCTGCAGAGAAGCGCTATGAGAGATAACCAATAACACCGTGAACCTGGGGGCGTCGGAGACTCTAAACCCCACGCACCTGTTGGCCTCTAGTCCCCTACTAACCAGTTCCCTCTAAGCACGGCTTTTGCTGCATCCCACCAACTTTGATATGTTCTCTTTTCATTTTTGTTCCATTCAAAACATTTGCTAAATTTTGCTGTGATCCCTTCTTTGACTCATGGGATGTTTAGCATTGTGTGGTTTGATTTCTAACTATTTGGGAATTTTTTAGCCCCCTTTTTTGGGTTCTACCCTAATTGCCTCGTGGTCAGAGAGCACACTTTGTGATTTCAATTTTGGGGCATTTGAAACTTGTCTACGGGCCCCCGCACGTTCTGTTTTGGTGAGCACTTCAGGATGTGCATTCTGCCCGCTGTTCAAGGTGGTCCACAGCTTTGCTCAGCCCTTACGTGGCCTTGCTGATTTTTTTTTAGTCTAGTTATTCTATCAGTCTGAGAAAGTAGGTGATAAAATCTCCAACTGGGATTGCAGATTTAGCCATTTCTCTCTTTAATTCTGTCCATTTCTTCCATGGGGTTTTTGAAGCTCTGTCATTAGGCACACCCCCATGAGTTATCCTTTTACTATTATGATATATCCCTTTTTGTCTCTGGTAATACTTTGTCATTAAATCAACCTTCTCTGCTATAAATATAGGCACTCCAGCTGCCTTAAGATTAGTGTTTATGCAGTACTTCTCATCTCATTCATTCACGGTGAACCTGTGACCTGCGTTTTAAAATACATTTCTTGTAGCTAGCACATGGTTGGGTCTTGCTTTTTTATCATCATGATGATCTCAGACAGACTTTTATTTTAAAGAAATTTATTCAGTTTTAGAGAGAGGGGAAGGGAGGGAGAAAGAGAGGGAGAAAAACATTGACATGAGAGGGAAACATGGATCAGTTGCCTTTCATATGTGCCCCAGGCAGGAACTGAACCCCCACCCCAGGCATGTGCTCTGACTGGGAATCTAACCCATGGCACTTTGCTTTGTCGGGCAGTGCCCAACCAACTGAGCCACACTGGTCAGGGCTCAGCCAGACTTCTAGCTGGAATGTAGTTGTTTTTTAATTTAATCTTTATTGTATTTTTTCCATTACCATTTAGTCCCCTTATACCCCCCGGCCCAGCAATCACCACACTTGTCCATGTCCATGAGTCCTTTTCCCTTTTTGTTCAGTCCCTCCACCGCCTACATCCCCCTGCCCTTTAGCTGCCATCTTGCTCTCCATCTATGACCGTCCCCATTTTCCATGTCAGTTCAGTTTGTTCATTAGATTCCACATATGAGTGAAATCATATGGTATTTGTCTTTCTCTGACTGGCTTATTTCACTTAGCATAATATTCACCAGGTCTGTCCATACTATTGCAAGGGGTAAATTTTTCTTTTTTACAGCTGAGTAGGATTCATTGTGTAAATGTCCCATAGTTGTTTTATCCACTCATCTACTGAGGGACACATGGGCTGCATCCATATCTTGGCGACTGTAAATAATGCTGCAATGAACATAGGAGTACTTACGTTCTTTTGAATTAGTATTTTGGGCTCCTTCAGATATATCCCCAGAAGTGGGATCACTGGGTCAAAAGGCAGATCCATTTTTAATTTTTTGAGGTGTCTCCATACTGCTTTCCACAGCAGCTGCACCAATCTGCATTCCCACCAACAGTGCAAAAGGGTTCCCCTTTCTCCACATCCTCACCAGAACTTGTTGTTTGTCGATTTATTGATGATAGTCATTCTGACAGGTGTGCAGTGATATCTCATTGTGGTTTTAATTTGCATTTCGCTGATGATTAGTGACATTGAGCATCTTTTCATAAGTCTATTGGTCATCTGTATGTTTCCTTAGGAGAAGTGTCTGTTCAGGTCCTTTGCCCATTTTTTAATTGGGTTGTTTGTTTTTGTGGTGTTGAGTTTTGTAAGTTCTTTATAAATTTTGGCTATTAACCTCTTATCAGATGTATCAGTGAATATGGTCTCCCCTTCTGTGGGTTATCTTTTTATTTTGTGGATGATTTCATTTGTTGTCCGCAAACTTTTTAGTTTTATGTAGTCTCATTTATTTTTCCTTTTGTTTCCCTTGTCTGGGGAGATATATCCAAAAAAATATTGCTACCATCAATGTCTGAGATTTTGCTGCATAGGTTTTCTCCTTTGACTGTCAGGGTTTCGGGTCTAACATTTAAGTCTTCAATTCATTTTGAATTTATTCTTGTATGTGCTGTAAGAAGGTGGTCTAGTTTCATTTTTCTGCACATATTTGACCAATTTTCCCAACACCATTTATTGAACAGACTATCTTTAGCCCATTATATGTGCTTGCTTCCTCTGTCAAATATTAATTGAATATAAAGTTGTGGGTTTATTTCTAGGCTCTCTATTCTGTTCCATTGATCTATGTATCTGCTTTTATGCCAGTACCATGCTGTTTTGATTACTATGGCTTTATAGTAGAATTTGATATTAGGCAGAGTGATTCCTCCAACTTTGCTCTTCTTTTTTCAGGATCGCTGTTGCTATGTGGGATTTTTGTGGTTCCATATAAATTTTTGAAATATTTGTTCTAGTTCTGTGAAATACATCATTGGACTCTTGATAGGAATTGTATTGAGTCTATAGAGTGTTTTGGGTAGTATGGACATTTTAATGATGTTAATTCTTCATATTGATGAACATGGTGTATGTTTCCACTTACTTGTATCCTCTTCTATTTCTTCCTTCAGTGTCTTATAATTCTCTGAGTACAGGTATTTTTTATTCTTGCTTAGGTTTATTCCCAGGTATTTTATTCTTCTTGTAGCAATTGTGAATGGAACTGTTTTCTTAATTTCTCTTTCTGTCTATTAGTTCATTATTGGCATATAAAAATGCCACTTATTTCTGGATATTAATTTTGTATTCTGCTACTTTGCTGAATTCATTTATCAGCTCTAGTAGCTTCTTGTAGAATTTTTGGGGTTCTCCATGTACAGTATCATGTCATCTGCAAATAATGACAGTTTTACTTTTTCCTTTCCAATTTGGGTGCCTTTTATTTCTTCTTCTTGTCTGATTGCTGTGGCTAGGACTTCCAGTACTATGTTGAATAAGAGAGGTGAAAGCGGACATCCCTGTCTTGATCTGACCTTAACGGGAATGCTTATAGTTTTTGCCCATTGAGTATAATGCTGACAGTGGGTTTTTCATGTACGGCCTTTATTATGTTTAGATGTGTTCCCTTTAATCCCACTTTGCTGAGAGTTTTTATCATAAATCTTTGCTGGATTTTATGAAATGCTTTTTCTGCATCTATTGATGTGGTCATACAGTTTTTATCCATTTTATTTATATGGTGAATCATATTTATGGATTTGTGAATGTTGTGCCAACCTTGCATTCCTGGAATAAATCCCACTTGATCATGGTGTATGATCTTTTTGATGCATTGCTGAATTCAGTTTGCTAATATTTTGTTGAGGATTTTAGTGTCTATGTTCATCAGATATATTGGTCTATACTTTTCTTTCTTTGTAGTGTCTTTATCTGGTTTTGAAATTAGGGTAATGTTGGCCTTGTAAAATGAGTTTGGGAGCCTTCCCCCATCTTGAATTTTATGAAATAGTTTGAGAAGGAGAGGGGTTAGTTCTTCTCAGAATGTTTGGTAAAATTCACCTGTGAAGCTATCCAGTCCAGAGCTTTTGCTAGTTGGGGGTTTTTTGATTACTGCTTTAATTTCACTAGGTGTAATCTGTCTATTCAGATTCTGATTCTTCCTGAATTAGTTTTGGAAGATTGTATGTTTCTAGGAATTTATCCTTGTCCAGGTTGTCCAGTTTGTTGGCATATAGTTGTTCATAATACTGTCTTAAAATCCTTTGTCTTTCTTTGGCATCAGTTGTTATTTCTCCTCTTTCATCTCTGATTTTATTTATTTGGGTCCTTTCTCTTTTTTTCTTGATGAGCCTGGCTAAGGGTAAGGGTAAGGGTAAGGCTAAGGCTAAGGTTTGTCAATCTTGTTTATCTTTTCAAATAAATAACTCTTGGATTCACTGATCTTTGGTATCTTTTTTAAGACTCTTTCATTTATTTCTGCTCTGATCTTTATTATTCCTTCCTTCTCACTTTGGGCTTTGTGTGTTGCTGTTTATGAAGTTCCTTTAAGTGTGAAGTTAGATTGTTCATTTGAGCTTTTTCTTGTTTTTTGAGATAGACCTGTAATGCTATGAATTTCCTTCTTGGGATTCCTTTCCCAGGGTCCCACAGATTTTGGATTGTTGTGTCCTCATTTTCATATCTTTTGATTCCTTCCTTGATCTTGTTGTTGACACATTGTTTAATAACATGTTATTTAACTTCCATGTCTTTGTGTGTTTTTCAGTGTTCTTCTTGTGGTTGATTTCTAGTTTCATACCATTGTGGTCAGAGAAGATGCTTGATATGATTTCAATCTTCTTAAATTTTTTGAGACTTGTTTTGTGTCCTAACATGTGGTCTATCCTAGAAAACATCCCATGTGCACTTGAAAAGTATGGGTATTCCGCTGCTTTGGGATGAAATGCTCTAAAGATATCAGTTAAATCCATTTAATGTAGTGTGTCATTTAAGGCTGCTGTCTCCTTGTTGATTTTCTGTCTGGAAGACCTAGCCATTGAAGTTAATGGGGTGTTAAAATCCCCAACTATGACTGTAATTCTGTCGATCTCTCCCTTTACACCCATCAAGATTTGCTTCACATATTTAGGTGCTCCTATGTAGGGTGCATAAATGTTTACTAGGCTTATAGCTTGTTAGATTGTTCCCTTTATCATTATGTAGTGTCCTTCTTTGTCTCTTACTATAGCCTCGGTTTTAAAGTTTATTTTGTCAGATATAAATACTGCTACCCCAGGTTTTTTCCCTTTACATTTGCATGAAATATCTTTTTCCATCCCTTTACTTTTAGTCTGCGTGTATCTTTCAACCTGAAATGAGGATTTTGGGGATAGCATATATATGGGTCTTGTTTTCTTATCCATTCAGCTACCCTATGTCTCTTGGTTGGACATTTAAGCCACTTACATCTAAGGCGATTATTGAGAGATACATATTTAGTGCCATTTTATTCTTAGACTATTTTCCTGTTTTTCTTCTTTTCCTTCTCCTCCTCCTCCTTCAAGCAAGCCCTTTAATATTTGTTGCAATACTGGTTTGATGTTAACAAACTCCTTTAGCTTTTTCATGTCTGGGAAGCTCCTTATTTTTCCTTCAGTTTTAAATGCTAGCCTTGCTGGGTAAAATAGTCTTGGTTGTAGGTCCTTCCTTGCTTTTCATCACGTTGAATATTTCACACCAGTCTCTTCTGGCCTGAAATGTTTCTGTTGAGAAATCAGATGAGAGCCTAATTGGTGCTTCCTTGTATGTAACTATCTGCTTTTCTCTTGTGACTTTTAGGATTATCTCCTTGTCTTTAAGCCTCGTCATTTTAATTATGAGGTGTCTCAGTATAGGCCTCTTTGGGTCCAATATGTTTGGGATTCTCTGAGCTTCCTGGACTTGTGCATCTTTTTCCTTTCCAAGATTAGGGAAGTTTTCAGTCATTATTTCTTCAGATAAGTTCTAAATCCCTTGCTTGCTCTCTTCTCCTTCTGGTATTCCCATGATGCAGATGTTGTTACACTTCATGTCGTTGAAAATGTTTCTTAAGCTCTCCTCATTTTTAAAAAATTCCCTCTGTCTTTCTCTCTTTCTTTCTTTCTTTCTTTCTATTTTTTTTACTGTTTTGCCTGCATGTTTTTTTCTCCCTTGTCTTCCAAATCACTGATTCAGTCCTCTGCTTCATTTAACCTACTGTTTATTCCTTCCAGTTTTTATTTATTTCAGATATTGCATTCTTTATTTCTGACTGGCCCTTTTTTATGATTTCTATGTCTTTTTTTATGCTGTTGAGTATCCTTATAATCATTACCGTAAACTATCTATCTTATAAATTGCTTGCCTCCATTTAATCTAGTTCTTCTTCCAGAGAATTCTCTTCTTTCATTCGGGGTCTGTTTATTTTTTATTTTTTAAAAATTTAATCTTTATTGTATTTTTTTTCCATTACCATTTAGTTCCCTTATACATCCCTCTCCCCAGCAATCACCACACTGTTGTCCATGGAGTCTGTTTCTTTGTCTTCTCATTTTGGCTACTTCCTTGTATTTTCTGCCTTAGTTGTTAAAATGATCAATTATTAAATTGAACAAGCTGTAATCAGCAGCCTGGCTTAAGCACTATAGGGTAGGGCAGAACAATTCCTGTGGGCAGCGCTATTGCTTTCCTCTCAGGCTCAGGGTGAATAATGCTCTGCTTGAGAAAGATGGCCTCTGCAGTTTGGGGAATGACTCAGCACAGGGATCCTGGTGGCTGGTCCTTCAGTTCTCTCTCCAGACCCACTAACCACAGACTCTCCTCAAGCATCTGTAGTCCGCTCTGCCTTCCCTCTTCCAGAGCCCAGGGTAGGTGGCTGCAAACAAAATTCTGTGTGGTGGCACTTTAAGAGGCCCTCCAGCCATTTCTCCCTGGCAGACAGAAACCCTGCTGCTTTTCACAGCTGGATGTTATCTGGATTCCCTTCTGTCTCTGGTGCTGTAGGCAGGGGAGCCCAGCTTGGGGTTTAGTTCCCATGCTTCTCAGGGAGACCCCCCCGCCCAGTCCCTGCAATATTCGTCTGGAACTTCAGCTGCCACCCATCGGAGCCCAGCCAGCCCTCTTGTGCCTCCTCCACACTCCCTACCAGTCACGTTGTGGTGAAGTGGTTTCTTTTGTCTGGTAATAAGGCTTCTCTCTAGCTAGTGTTCAGTTGGTTATTCAGAATGATTTCTCTACAATTTAGTTGTAATTTTGGATTGGTCCTGGGAGGAGGTCAGTGTAGCTTCCACTTGCTCCTCCACCATCTTGATTTTTTTTTTGGAATGTAATTATTGATATGGTTAGATTTTGGTCCACCATTTTGCTGTTTCTTTGGTTTGTTCTGTCATTTGATCCATGAATGAAAAGACCTCTGACTGTGAGGTAATGAAATTAAAGGCTTCTGTGTTTTGGGCAGCACTGTTATCCTAAAAAGTGCTGAGGCTGATAGATCTGAACCTTGCAGTCAGCAGATGGGTACAAAATGACCTGCTTCCACATGGCAAGCAGAGGTCAGATCAGTTTCAGCTCTGGTCATCTGGGAGTGTTGCTGTGTTGGGAAGGGTTCTGAAGCTGCCTTCAGGCTCAGGAGTAGAGCACCCGGGTGATCAGAGCATTGATTAGGATATAGGCCACCCTGGCTCTGGGTGGGCTGCCTGGGATGGAGAGAGCATTGTTTGTGTGTTTCTGGTTAGGTCTTTCTGTAGGCAAGTCCAGGCTTCTTTGGAGGGGGACTAAATAGAGGTTGGGGAAGTCACTGAATGTACTGGGTATGGATGAGTTGACTATAAGTGACTGGTACTGAGGCATCGAGGAATGTCTTAGAAAGTGTAGGTTCAGGAAAAAGCTGGTATTGCCCTGATATCAGAGAGGGGTTTCCTGGCTGCAGGAGATTAGAGGGATAGATGGGCTTGCACCCCATCCCATGCTGTTTAGGGTCTGACACTTACCAAGATTTCGGTGCAGCTTGGGTGCGTATGTTCTCTTGGCATCTCTGGCCCAGAATGCCTGCTTCCCCAGCTGCATGGGTGCCTCTGTGCAGTAACTGTGATGCAGAACATTTGCCTTGCATCACATCAGTAGAAACAAACTATTCTCATATGGCGTTTATTTCTTTGCCTGGCTGGCTTTCTTGAACATTTGCTGAGATCAAAGAAAAGGCAGTCAGTGCAAGTACTCAGCTCTCAGCCACCCCTCAGTGGGGTTGAAGGAGTCACCTCACCCATGGGTTCCGGCCTCAAGCTGTCTTGCCATCTCCCCTTTGCTCTCCCTTCTCCCACCTGTATTGCCTCTGATACCAACTCCAACTTCTTACTGTGGTGAAATAAAATGGTTCCAGGTTCTCTGGTGTTTCTTCCACTGAGAGGTTGGTGGGCTCTGTGTCCCTTGCCCTGGGTCAGGGTGGGGTCTGTGATGGCATGGTCCGGGAGAGTATGGCAGATGTGACACCATGCCAGTTCCAGACCTGGACTTCAAGAGGACAGGCCAGTCCACCTTGGTCTCTGGGAGCCCCCAGCTACCACGGACTAGGCTGCTTGGCGGTTCATGTGGAGAGGCCCCACGACTGCAGGGAAGGCCCAGCTGAGTCCAGGTGTCCCCGCCAGGCACGTGATGTGGGGAGAGCCACCAAGAACCCTCCAGACCAGCCCTCCCAGCGGCCAAATACTCTCAAGAGATGCCTGCCAGGCCCACTAGGTGCAGAAGTGGCCGGCTCAGCCCTGCCTCAATTCTTCATTTCCTGCTCACGGCGGATAATCAAGCAGTTGCTCCAGGCCGCTGTTTGGGGTAGTCTGTTGGGCAGCGGTGACAGAGAACAGTGGTTCTGCCAGGCACCTGCACCAAAAAGCCACACCAGGCCCCAGCTAGACGCCACACACCCACTGAGCTCCTGAGCAGGAGCAAAAAGGATCTTTTATGAAGGGCCCAGGTGCCTTAAGGGTGGGTCATCGTGTCTTGTTCGTTTCTGCATTCCAGCACAAAGAGCCATGCCTGGCTGCTGGAAGGAGCTCAGTGAACATCTGTGGAATGAATTCCTACAGCCAGATTCCTTCCATTGTGGTGGCATGTGACAGGGTCCCCATCACACTTGTCCTGTCCCTTTAGACTCACAGGGCTGACTCAGTACCCATGGGAAACCCTCCCAGGGATCCAGAGCTGGGGGCCCATGGCCAGGGCTCTGACCACTGGGTGAGAGCCGTGCGGGCTCACTGCACTCCTTCCCGCCTTCCCGCCTTGCCGCCTTCCCGCTAGTGTGCGACTTCCTGCTGCCCAGCGCTCCGCCGGCCCTGCCGCCCTGGTACGTCGACCAGCGCTTCACCTTGACTCTGCTCTCCACGCTGGTCATCCTGCCCCTGTCCGCCCCCAGGGAGATCGGGTTCCAGAAATTCACGAGGTATGGGGCTGTGGACACGTCCTGGCAGGGCTGCAGCGGCTTTAACTGGGCCCCCGCCATGGGTGGTGTTTGTTGCAGGGGTTTCTCTCTGCCTCTGATAGGGAAGCTGTTCTCATTGGCCTCCCACTGTGGTCGAGGAGAAAAAAGTGAAAAATTACACTAGTAACATCTACATGTGAGAGAAAATATAGATAAGCAAAAAAGAAAACAGCCATGATGACGGCCTGCTGTGGACGTTTTATTTAATGAGTGCAGACTTCGCACCCGCGCATGCACGCAGGCACAGACAGAGACACGGACGCACACATCCTGTTTTTCATTTTGTGATCTGTGGCTTTACTGATGTTTTTGAAAAAAATTATGTCTGGCACAAGTATCTATACAGATTTGCAACCTGCCTTTCCCTGTGGAGTTCAGAGCAACTATGGACTTTTTACCTTGGAAACGGAGAAGCAGCAGGCAGGGACTCCAAGCCCCGAGGTGCTCCCAGCCCTCGAAGTCTCTTTTGTCATGCCCAGCTGAGGCGGCTGGTGTCCTGACTTAGATGCCGAATCCGAGCGGCTACGTGGCTGTCTCTGGAGAGACGGGGGGTACCAGTAGCCATCACGGCCTCGCAGGTGCAGCCCCATTAGGAACTTGACCCACCTGCCCTCTGGGCCTGAGAACTGTCCTGCCTGAAGTGGCCTGCTCGCTGGCCCCACGGTGCAGATAAGGAAACCGAGGCTCAGGGCAGGGAGGGCTTTGCCACCTTGCTGATGTTCAGACCGCACTCTGTGTGGCTCCCAGGCTGTCCGTGGCGGGGCTGGTGGCCCCTCACGTTTATGGTCACGCATCGTCTGTGGTCAGCTTCCTAGGCACGCTGGCCGCCTGCTACCTGGCCCTGGTCATCGTGGCGCAGTACTACCTTGGGGCCCAGGCCCTCGCATGGGAGCCTCGCCCTGCCCTGAGGTGAGTTGAGGGGATGGCCTTTTGTGACCTCCTGGGGTGCTGCAGGGGACCCGAGAAGGAAGGACCCTTCTCCCCTCCGGTTGGCACACAGGCCTTGCTCCTCTCTGAGAATTCCTTGGCGTCTCTGATGCCCTAGGGCCCACCGAAGGCCCCTTCCCTGCTTCAGAATGGACATAGCTATTGTTCATAAGGACCAGGGATAGGCCAAGGGGCACAAAACACTAAGTGCCACGCCACCCTGGGGCTGCTAGGCTTTTGCAGAAGCATCCCCACAGCCCGGAGGCAGTAGAACTCATCGGCAGGAGGCTGGTGCTAGGGCAGGGGGAACAGGGATGTGCTGAGGCCAGTGGGGCCCCACCAGCATGGGCAAGGCCAACAGAAGGGGGTGAGGGTTGTCCTGTGGGGACACGGAGCCTCAGTGAGGGCGTGGGTTTTGTTGGGAAGCCACTGCAGGGTTTTGAGCACGGCAGGGGCTTGAAATCAGATCTGGTGACAGGACAGCTCCGTAGGTATACAACCTATGACGTCACCCAGGGCCCTGTACTCAGAAAGGCCTCACACTTGGTTTAACGCCCTGCAGTCACCAGCCCAACATTCCTTTCCTTTTTACAATCCTCACTCGAGAATATATTTTTATCGACGAGAGAGAGAGAAAGAGAAACATCAATTGGTTGCTGCCCATATATGCCCCAACTGGGGATTTAATCCACAAGCTAGGTATGTGCCCTGACTGGGAATTGAACCCGCAGGCTTTTGGTGTATGGGTTGATGCTCCCACCCACTGAGCACCCCGGCCAGGGCACCAACCCTTTGTTGTCAAACAAAGGTCCAGCATGTTCATTTTGCCCTGGGCCTTGCAAATTATGTGGCCCCTCCAGGCTGACAGATTGGAAGTGGAGCGTGAGAGAGGAGCCCAGGGTGACTCTGAGTTTCGGGTCTGAGCACTGGGAAGGTCGGCGGTGCCATTTCCTAGGCTGGATAAGACGGAGGGGGCAAGTGGCTGGGGGTGGGGGGCAGGTAAGAAGGGGTAACACTGGAGTCAGCTTTGAAACGACTAAATGAAGGTGTCTGGCTGCCAGCTTGTCAGACCTGCATGTCGGCAGCTCAGAGAGAGAGGCCCAGGCCTGAGGGAGAAAGGTGGCTGGTGTCAAGTCCAGAGATGGCATTTACGGACAGGCGCCGCGTGGGAACTGTACTCAGGACCCACAGTCCCTGTCCAGCTGGGAGGGCAGGGGAGGAGGAGGAGCTGGGGGAAGATGGAGGTGGGTGGAGACTCGGGAGATGTGCTAGCTTCCTTGAGCTGCTGTGACAAGTGGCCACACTCCTGGTGACTTCACACAACAGGAATGCGTCCTCTCTCAGTTCTGGGGACCAGAAGTCAAAAATCAAGTGAGCAGGGCCGAGCTGCCTCTGAAGATTCTAGGGGAGGGTCCTTGCTGCCTCCCTGGTAGTTGCCAGTGGCCCTTGGCCGATGGACGGACGGACGGATGGCTGCCTCACTCCAAGCCCTGCAGCCACCGTCACACGGCCCCCCACCGGGCATCTGTTTTCTCTTCCTACCAGGACGCCAGTCCCTGCATTAGCACCCAGCTCCTGCATGCCCTCATCTTAATTTAACTAATTACATCTGCAGAGGCCCTGTTTCCAAGTAAGGCTTCCTTCTGAGGTTCCCGGTGTCTGTAGATTTGGGGAGCACTATTCAGCCAGGGTAAGGGATAATAGAAGGTAGGTCTCAAGTGTCAGTGAACAAAATTCCCAGAAGGTTGGTGTGATCGTTGACAAATGCTGCTCTTGGGTCACATAGGACTGAATCCTGGGCATCAATTTGGCCATGGAGGTCACTGGTGGCGTTACCTGGTCAGGGTAGGAGAGGGGGCAAAGGCCCAGGTGGGTTGAGTTCAGGAGAAAGAGAAGGAGGCAGGAAGCAGTTCTTCTGAGGAGACGTGGAGAAGAATGGGCAGGAGCAAGGGGGACAGAGCCCCGGCCACTGCCTATGCTGATAGGCAACCCCTTAGGGAAGAAAAACCCAGCCAGGAGAGGGCCGGACTCACTGCTGATCTGCAGCCTCGAGTCAGGGACAGAGGGGTCGGCGGAGGGGCACGTCCTGTGCTCTGAGGACTCAGCCTGAGGCTGGAATTCAGACTGTCCCTTCGACAGAGGCAGGAGGGGACAGCACAGGCAGACCCAGAGGTCGCAGGCAGGCAGATGGGGCAGTGCAGATGTGGTTGTGAGCAGGAAGCCAGGTGTCAGGTGACAGGGCTGTTGGGGAAAGTCAGGGAAGCCCAGGTGGCCTGGGAGGCACCATGAGTGGCCTCCAGAGTTAAGTCAGCCAGACCCAGTGCAGGACGGGAGACACCCCTGTGTCAGGGTCCTGTGGATGCCGTAACACGTCAGCACCAACTCGGGGGTCTTGAAACAACACAGGTTTCCTGTCCCACAGTTCTGGGGGTCAGAAGTCCAACACGAGTCTCCCTGAGCTAAAATCAAGATGTTGGCAGGGCTGCATTCCTTTTAGAAACTCTAAGCTAGAATCTGTGTCCTGGTCTTTCCCAGCACCTAGGGGACACCCACATGCCTTGGCTCGTGGCCCTGCCTCCATCTCTAAAGCTGGCAACACCCGTTCTCTCTGACCTGCCTCCATAGTCATCGCTCCCTCTGACCGCAACCAGGAGAGGTTCTCTGATTCCAAGCATTCGTGTGCTTCGTTGGGCCTAGATGATCCAGGATAATCTCCCCATCTCAAGGTCCTTACCCTTAACCACATATGCAGCGTCCCTTTTGTCATGTCGGGTCACATATTCACAGGCCCCTGGGGCAAGGACATACACCTCTTGGGAGGCCATCATTCTGGCACAACCAGGAAACCCTGATGCTGTAGCAGGTGTTGTTCACACCTGACTCTATCCTATGTCCCCAAAGGTGCTGGACGCTGGCTCCTAGAACCGCTTGTCAAAGGAAACTGGAGGGCTTCCATCCTGAAAATTCTGCCCTGTGCACAACTCAGTCCTTTTTGGCAGCTTGGACAGAAGTCAAAGCGTCCTTGCGCTGTGTTGGGAGTCTGGCGGATGGACGCTGCCTGCGCTCCCGCCCATAACCTCCCTGGGGACAGGCAGCCTCAGGGAGAGGCTGGGGGCGCCTGCTCACCATGCCCTGTCCAAGTGCTGCCTGTGCAGAGAAGGTCACGTCGCCAAAGTGTCAGCAAAAATGCATTTAGAAAGTGCAGCAGTGAACACACATCCTTTTCCATCTCTCCCAACCTGGCGGCGGATGCAATGATTAAAAGCATATGTTACAGTCATGCTTAGTTACACCCTCCTGGCATTGTTTGAGACTCAGCTCCGAGCCGAAGGTTGTTTTGAATTGAACTTTTTGTAATCAGCGCTTGTTCTCATCTATTCGCAGTCCTTCCTCCTGGACCTCCGTGTTTAGCGTCTTCCCCACCATCTGCTTTGGATTTCAGGTAATCTTAGTGTCTGTGGTAAAGGGAGCAGCCATTGCGGGCTGTGGAGACTCCCGGGTCCCGGGGGAGAGCGTGGCCTCCCTGTCAGGAGAGCGGTGTGGATACTCGTTCTGGGATGGGACGGGCTGTCTTCCGAGACAGTGCACGCGTGTGCGAATCTGGGCTCAGAGAGGCGTGAATTGCCGTTGAACTTGGCAACCCGACCAGCGGCCAACAGCAGCAGCATGTTTGTTGGGTCCAGGGTAGAGTGACGGGGTTTGGCAACTGTCCCTTGCCTTGCAGAGTCCTCACAGGACTGTCGTCGTGCCCGGACACCTGGAGCTGCCCGCTTCCTTGTGCAGCACGCCAGGTGGACTCCATTCCAGAGGCTTTGGAGGGGAAATTTCCTGCCTTGGTGGCGGGGGTGTCGGGACCAGCGGGTCGGAAGGCGTGCAGGTGGCTGCGTGGCGGGACCCGGGCAGGATGTACAGAATTTTTAATAGCAAGTCACGGAGTGAGAATGGGTTCTGCGCGTGCCGCCCAGCTGAGGGGCTTCTGACCCAGCCCTGAAGAATGTGTAGGAGGTGGCCAGGTGGAGGGAGGACGTGCCAGCGAGTGAGGACAGCACAGGTGGCTCAAGGAGGGGAGAGTGTCCCTGGTGCGGCTGCAGAGCCGCCAAGGGCTCTGTTGGGTGGGTGCCCCATGGGCTTCTGGAGGGTGTGGTGGGGAGTGGTGTGGGCTCCTCTGTCTGTCTGTCTGTCTGTCTGTCTCTCTCTCTCTCCAGGCTCTTAGCCGGGGGCAGCTGACTCCATTCCTTCATTGTTCATTTTAGGAGCGATTTGCCCCTCTCCCACAAACCTGCGCACCACACCAGTAACAAAACCACCCCAAAGCACAATCGAGTTCCCAGGGGAAAGTGGTTCAGGGATGACAATATCTCAGCTTCCTAACTTGAGATTTTATCTTCCCTCTTCTATCAACTAGCTCCTGTTACTGTTCCTCATCTTGCATTTTCTTGGAGAAACATTTTTTTGAAAAAAAAAAAAAATCCTGAAACATTTCCATTTCTCTTCCTTATAAATGAGTTGATGGTATCGCTTCTGGGGTTTAGCAAGACGTTTACAGGAATTTCTCAGGTTTTTCCTTGCACACCCAATATTTTGAAAGATCTAAAGCAGAGATCTTGCTGACAACTGTTGGAATGTGGCTTTAACCATCCCTCTCTCCAGCTCTGAGCGCCATATGGTGTGACAGGCTCGCACCGGGGGGCTGCTTTTCAGATGCTTACGGCGGGGGGGCTGCCCCCTCACCTTTGCCTCGGCTCCCTCGTTCGATTCTCCTAGCAACCGAGGCCTGGGCTGAGGTTCCCAGGGACACGGGGGGCCGTGATGGGAAGATGGGAAAAGACGTGAATCGCAGGGCGCGGGTGCGGGGGGAGTGGAGGCCAGGGGCGGGGCTGCCAGGAACGGCCTGGAGAGGAGACCTTGGGCTGGAGGCGAGTAGGTGTAGATGACGAAGAGGAGGTAGGCTGGGGAGCGGGGTCAGGCTGGAGGGGCTGTGCGGGGAAGGGAGGCCACCTTGTCACCGGGAGCTCGGAGCTGGCTCGGACACCACCCCCGCATTTAGCAATGGGGCCCCCCACCTGGCTGCACAGAGTTGGTAAGAGAGGTCTGGGGGGCACAGAGGTCAAGGGGGCTCTGCTCCCAGCCACCCTGGCTGCACATGAGACTCCTCAGGTGCTGGGTTGTTTTTTTTTTTTTTAACAGCTTCTTTGAGATATAGCTCACATCGCATACTTTTCACCATCTAAGGTGTGGAATTCGGCGGTGGTTGGCCTAGTCACAGAGCTGTGCATCCATCACCACAGCCAGTTTAAGGGCCTTCCACCGCCCGGCTAGAAACCTGCACCCATCACCAGCCACGCCCATGCCACGCCCCCCACCCCGCCCCCTGCTCGGGCCCTGGCAACCACGACTCTCTGTTCTGTTTTTGGATTTGCCTCTTCTGGACAGTCCCTATAAATGGAATCCTACAGCTGGTGGTCCTGTGCGATGGCTTTCTACTAGGCATCATGTTCTTGAGGTTCATCAATGTCATAGCGAGTATCCCTTTTGATGGCTGAGTCATATTCCACTGCAGGGATAGGCCACCGTTTGCTTTTCTGTTCCTCAGCTGGTGGATGTCCACACCATCTCCACTGCTCAGCCAGGATGCGCACCTCTGCCCTGCACCCATCTCTGAGCGAGCGGTGACCCTGCACGCAGCCAGCCCCTGTCCCCCCCGCTGGCTGTTCGAGCAGGGCAGCCCTGCCCTCAGGGGACGAGCTCTATCTTCCCTACAAAACCAAGAGAAACTCACCCAGGAGTCTTAGGACAGAGGAAGAAGGGCAGGCTCCCTCCAGCCACCATCAAGCATTTTTCCCATTTCTGAGTCTGAGAGACAGGCGGTGGGAGCATCGATCCACAGGGCTCCACTGCTCCTTGGTTGAGGGCCCCCGGGGGCTGTAGGCCAGCGGGGTCCTGTGAGGTCAGAGAAGTCCCAGGGCAGAAAGCCAAGGACGCACTGGTGCCCGAGGCTCGTCTGTTCTGGAAGGTATGTGCACGCTCACCCCGGCAGCTGCAGGCCGTGGGCAGTGCAGAGGGACAGAGGCGGACTGAGCTCAGTGAGTGGGAGCGCGGGGAGGAGCAGATCAGCACATCTGGTTTTGATTAGAAGTGAGCGAGTGAGTGGACGTGATAGTGGGAACCCTGCCCCAGGAGCCTGGGACAATCCCAGACCCCAAAGGGCATGTGCAGATACGGGGGCGCCTCTCAACCCTGCCTGCGCATCAGGGTCTCCTGGCTGCGTGTGAGACACCACTGCCCAGGACCCGCCCCAGGTAATTAATGTCCCCATTGCAGGTGGGCTCTTGGCATTGGCTAGATGTATCTTATATTTAATTCTTTATACTGACAATATAATCAGTACCTATAAAACATATAAATCGTAAGTGTGAGTGCTCTCCTGTAACTGTCACCCCAGGAGGGAGTCAGGAGGTAGAACACTCTCAACCCCCAGGGAAGGCTCCCTAGTGACATGTTCCACTGAGTGGCATCGGCCCCACCCACACCCCTGTTCTGCCTTCTGTCACCCTAAATGGTGGTTCTCAACTGGGGATGGGGGGTTTGCCCCCCTCGTCCCTGGGAATTTGGCAATGTCTGGAGACTTCTTTTTGTTGTAATAACTGGGGGCAGGTGTTCCTGGCATCTAGTGGGCCGAGGCCAGGGATGCTGCTCAACATCCTGCAACGCAAAGGCCCCTGGTCTGGCTCGTTTGGCTTGTAATTCGAACTTCATGTACATGGAAATGTTCTCTTGTGTCTGGCTTCCTTCGCAAAACTAGAGCTGTGGGATTCTTTCTTGCGGAGGTGTGGCGTGTGCTCGTCCTTTTTCATTGCCACGTAATATTCCACCGTGTGACTATCCGGCAAGTTACTTTCGCCTTTTACTGTTGGTGGGCATTCAGGTGGTTTCCTGTATTTTGGGATTTCGATACTTTTTAGATTGTTCTCGGCGATTCTAACACCCAGCTGGCCCCACCGGGCCCCCTCTGTCTTCCAGTGTCATGAAGCTGCCGTCTCCATCTACTGCAGCATGCGCGACCAGCGCCTGTCCCATTGGGCCCTGGTCTCCGTGCTATCCTTGCTGGCCTGCTGCCTTGTCTACTCGCTGACAGGTAAGGCCCTGCCTGGAGCACCCAGCAGCGGGGTAGGGATTGGCAGGAGAAATGGGAATAGTAGCGAGTATTTTTAGAGAGCTTACAGCGTGCTAGGCGCAGCACTGCACAGTTGGAGTGCCTTTGCTCATTTAATCCTTAACAGCCCATAGGAAAGTCCCCATTTCCATGGGTGGCAAAGATCTCCAAACTAGATGTGGCAAAGCTGTGACTATGACCCTCGCCCAGCTCTCTCCAAAGCTCCTGCTCTGTGCCCCCCATCTGCTGCTGTCTGATGGGACGACAATAATGGTGGTCATCGTAGTGTTATGTCTGGGTAGCAATATACTAAGTGCTCTCATGGATTCGATGGACTTGAGTGCTCACAAACCCGTGCTGTAGGCAAAAGGGTCTTCACAGACAGTGAGAGTGTGGCTCAGAGAGGGGCTGTGATGTGCCCGAGGTCACACAGCAAGCCCACAACACAGCCCAGGTCCCAGGCTGACCTCTGGGCACCCTCTGCCAGCCCAGAGCCTCGCTCTTTCGTCTGCCTATTGGAGCCTCTGACTTGAGAAGCACGTGGGCTACAGAGAATGTGTCAAGGGCCTTGGTCACTATGGTTTCAAGCAAATCGCTGGGTAACTTCTCCCCAGCAGGAAAGGTTCCTATCAGTCTGTGGCCCCTGGGTTGGAGGTCCATGACCTGGTCGCTGAGAGCTGCCTCTAAATGGCTCATGTCTAGGGTCAGCAGGATTATGGACCAAAATGAACCATAGCTCTTAGCTAGAGGTGGGTGCCTCAGGACAGGACAGGAGACGAGGATGTGAGAGGCAGCACTGGGCTGCAGGCCTGGGGCCTGGTGCACTGGACCAGGCTCTGTGGTAACTACCTGTGTATTCTGGTAATTGCTGCCACCCTGGGTCTTGGTTTTCCCCATCTGGAAAATGGGTGCACTGCCAACTGATTTATTTTTAATCCTCACCGAGGATATGTTTATTGATTTTGGAAGAAAGAAACATCAATGTGAGAAAGAAACATCGATCAGTTGCCTCTCATACACACCCTGACCAGGGATCAAACCTGCAACATGATGGTGCATGGGACAGCGCTCCAACCAACCGAGCCACCCAGCCAGGGCCAGCTGCTGTCTTTAGGTGCTGTCAGGGCAGGATGGATGGGGCATGGAAGGCACTGATAGAGTTCCCAGAGTGCTGTGTGCTTCTGTCCATGCGCACCGCATGCATGGGCCCCCGGTGACCTGTCTGAAAAAAGGGTCAGCAATAGTTTTGCCCAGAGGGGATTCTGAATCAGAAGAACAGTGTCACACAGGCTGAGAACAGAAAAGCCTTGGGAAATGGGAGAACAGAGCACTCTTCCAGAACCTTCTCTCATCTCCTAGGAAAACCCTGAGAGGTGGTGGGAGCTGGGTGCTGTTGGTGTGTCAGAGCTGCAACGGGGCAGAGCATCTCCTAATCAGCCCTCCGGGCTCCCACCCCTCCTACCTGCCAGGTGTTTATGGCTTTCTGACCTTCGGGACAGAAGTTTCCGCTGACATCTTGATGTCCTACCCAGGGGACGACGGGGTCATCATCGTTGCCCGCGTCCTCTTCGGCATCTCCATTGTGACCGTCTACCCCATTGTGCTCTTCCTGGGGAGGTGAGGCTGGCTCGGCGGGGACACCGTTCAGCGCAGGGCATTGCCGTTTATCGCGATGCAGCGCGTGCCAGGCGCTCCTAGCTGGTGTGTGGTGGGGACGGCCATCGCCTCTGTTTCACAGAGGGGTAAATGGGATGGGGGCAGGTAATTAGGTGACTGGCCCAGCATCCCCAGAAAGTAGCGTCAGGAGCCTGGTCTCGGGGCTGCCCCTGACCTCCCCCCACGCGACCCCTCGCTGTTGGCTGCCTGACATGGGCCGACCCACCTGAGGGCTGGCACGGTGTCCAGGGAAGGAGCCCCCGTGTGGGACGGCAGGCCCGCCAGGTGGGCGGGGCAATGGGGAGGGGACCATAGGGCTCCCAATGGCAGGTGGGCGGCGAGGGCTGGAGTCCCAGCACCCGCTGTTCCTGTGCCGGCGCGGCCTCCAGGTCGGTGATGCAGGATTTCTGGAGGAGGAGCTGTGGCCAGGCGTGTGTACCCAGCACCCTGGCCGACCCCTCGGGGCTGGGGGTCCGGATGCTGCTGACCGTCCTGTGGGTCACCGTGACGCTCGCCATGGCCCTGTTCCTGCCAGACCTCAGCGAGATCATCGGCATCATCGGCGGCATCAGTTCCTTCTTCATCTTCATCTTCCCAGGTGAGGCGCCCGCGTCCGGGGCCCCCTGCCTGCTTGTCCTTCCGTGTTGCTCTCAGCAGGGAGTCCCTGTGTTGGGGGTCCGGGGCCTGGAGGGTGGGACCCCCGTGTAGGTAGGATAGCTCCCAGCCCTGTCTACTGGCCAGGCATGGGCTGGGGGCTTAATAGGCCCTCCCTCGTCAAACACCTCCATGCCCTCAACGGGCGCAGCTGAAGACAGCCCCGATACTACCCCACCTGCAGCTGGGAGACCGGGGCGCAGAGGCTCCGGGTGGCAGGGTGGGCGCGTAGCAGGCCTGAGTCAACCTCACAGCCTCGCCCACCTCCCACGGCTGCCACTCGCTGCAGGATTTTCTTTTATTTTTAAAAAACATTTTCAATTACATGAAATGTAAAAATGCCTTCCATTACATGAAATTCATATGACTCAAAAGGACACCATGGAATCTTCATTCTACCTCATTCCCCAACCTGGCAGGCAAACACCATTTCTGACAATTTCTTAGGAAGCCTTCCCAGTGTTAGTGAATGTCTACCTGTCCTGAGGGTTAGAGTGGGGCTGGGCCACCCTTTCAGCACCTTGGAAGGTCCTTCTGCCCACAAGGAGGAGCCCTGGAGGGGCAGCTGGTGCGCAGGGGGACACCCCAGCTCCTCCGCCCAGCTCTGGGTGGCGCATTAGTCCAGCTGCTTCTCGTGATGTGCCAGGGGGCTTTAGGCAGAGCTGTCTGGCTTCAAATCCCAGAAGTTATTTTAAAAAAATAGAAAAAAGGAAGGAAAGAAAGGAAAAGATAACAATGGCAGCTGCCAGTTGTTGAACTCATCCCAGGTGTCCGGCCCTGAGCAGAGCCAGAGACCCTGGCATGCCGGTGTGCTGTCATTGTCACCTGTGAGACTCGGGCTCGGAGAGGCCAAGGTTCTAGGGAGAGGCTGAGCTGGAACCCCACACCAGTCAGGCCCTTAGCCACCGCACTGTGCCACCTGGCCACCTGGCCACAAGCAGGGTGAGCCAGGGGACCACTGAGCAAAGGTCTTACTGGCCTCGCAGGCCCCTGGGGGCTGCTGGGTGTCGACTGAGCTCTCCAGGGCTCAGAGCTGCGTTAGGGTCCATAATGAAGAGCCGGGGTGGCCCCATCTCCTTTGCAGGTCTGTGCCTCATCTGTGCCGTCAGCACCGAACCGATAGGGCCGCACGTCAGGTAAGTGTCTTGGAGGAAGGGAGGCCCCTCGGGCATTTGAAGGGGCTCTGACCGTGGAGCTCGGGAATGCTGCAGGGGCCGCGCAGGCCGTCGTCCTGCGGACGAGAAGGCTGCCGGCCACGGGGAGGCACCGCATGCGCGTAGTGAGAGGGGGTCTGAGCCAGCGACGCCACGGCCTGCCATCTTTCAGTCTGTGCGCGGCCCCGTCCGGCTCTGAGACCTGTGGCCTGTGGTTGGAGCTCTATGTGTATATGAGCATTTTCCCGGAAAAGGCCCTATTTCCAAACAAGGTCATATTCACAGGTTCCACGTAGATGTGAAATTTGGGGACTGCCGTTCAGCCCAGTACAAACACTGTTAAGTTATAACATCCACGGATTGGGGTCCCACCTGCAGACCGGGGCCTGTCTCCCACTTCCCATGCTTGGTTTTCTGGAAGCAGCAGGCTCGGCTTGGTTCCCTTCTGGGTTGAGGAGGGCTTTTCCGGAAGTCTCTAAACCTGCCTGGGCTTAGAGCTGACCTCTGATTTGTCTGGCAGTTTGTTCCCTGGAGCACTCTTTGAAGCCCTGCAGCTTTTGTTTTGCGCCTTGATCCCAGCTCACAATCATTTTAGTGATGGGCTTTCAAGACATTTTAAATTCTAGAACTGCTTTCGGGCGTCCTGACCCGTCGGCCGCTCTGAGGAGCGCTGCAGCCCCGGTCGCGTCCACCTGCTCTCCCCGCTTCACGTGCGTGGGTGGATGTTTATGGCCCCGAGTTGCAGCTGGACTAGAGATTGTCTTTCCATGACAACAGATCCTTGCGGCCTTTGTTAATGGGGCCAGAAATATCTCTGGCGGCCCTGCCGCTTTGTGGGCATCTTATTATCATTGCGCTCATCCATTGTCTGCGCTGTCTCTTCTGGTTACATTATGAAGCTTGAGACGTGGCCTTGGTGGCCATCATTTCCAGCCACCTCTGTCTCCTGCCTGCTCATGCCCTTGCCACTGTGCTGGTCATGTGTGACTTAGGGCTTTCTTCTTCTCCCTTATTTTTAGGGGCTTCATCCCTCCCACCCCAGAAGGAACAGGGTCGGAAAGGGAGTTTGAAAGTAACGTCTCCCTCTTCCCATTTCTTTGGCTTTGGTGAACTAGTGGACAGAAATGGGTTATGCATTGGCAGCGAGAGGTTTTTAAATTTCCTTGGACACTTCCTTTCCTGTTGTTTCAGAAACCCATTCCCCACAGGTCAGGGAGGGTACCCTGAATTTTTTTTCCAAATCGGTGAGTCTCCTGGGCTTCAAATAATACATTTTCTGCCTGTGCTTGGCTTGTCTGTGCAAAACTCCAGGAAAGTGCGTGCTGACATGGGTTTGTTGACTTGGCAGGTGCTGCTTGGAGGTCTGGGGAGCGGTGTCCGTGCTCATCGGCACCTTCATCTTCGGGCAGAGCACCGTGGCAGCCGTCTTGGAGCTCTTGTGAGGGGGGGCGGGCTGCGCCTGAGCCAGAGGGGGCTGCGACGGGCCGCCCAGCTGTGAGACCCGTGTAATTCCATCATAAAGATGCTGGAGAAACCGATACCTTTGCCTTCGTAGGCTGCTCACTGGGGCTTCTGCCGGTTCAAAGGGCTTCTGTTGCAATGGAGAGGAGAACGCTAACAAAGGGCCACAGGCTGGTGGCCTAAAACAGCAGAAATTTAGTCTCTCGGAGTCCTGGGGGCTAGGAGTCAGAGGTCGAGGTGTCAGCAGGGCTGCGCTCCCTTTGGAGGCTCCAGGGGAGGGTCCTTCCTGCCTCTCCCAGCTCCTGGGGCTGCTGGCGGTCCTTGGTATTCCTTGGCTTGTAGACGCATCTCTCTAGCCTCTGCGTTTATCGCTCTATGGCCTTCTTCCCTCTGGGTCTGCGACCCTATTTCCCTCTTCTTATAAGGATGCTGTAGTTCGATTAGGGACCAGCCTAATTCCTTATGACTTCATCTTAAGTTACTTAATTAGGGTCTGCAAAGATCCTGTTTTCCAAATAAGGTCACATTCACAGGTTCCAGGGAGTAGGACTTAATGTTTCTGGGGTATACAACACAACACACAGGCCAGAGAGCCCTGCTTTGGGGTGCCGGGGTGAAAGACATGGGGTGAGGGTAGCGTGCAGTAGAGGAGAGCCCAGAAAGGGACTTCGGGTGGCGCCCACGGGGGATGGAAGAGGACTCAGGCTGGCCCTCGGCCAGGGCACAGAGAATGCAGAATTCTGGCCGGTGACTGTGAGGTGCCCAAGGAGAATGCCCCCAAATGGCCACACGACCATGCGCCTGGCCCATGCTCCAGCAGGGGCCCCCTGAGCAGGGCCCCCTTTCCTTCCCCAGCTGGACCCGAAGAGCCTGGAAGCCGAGTGCACCATTTGTTCACGGTCTCCTGCCGACCCCCAAACAATCCTGCAGGGCAGGGCCACGCCTGCAGTGGCCCTGAGGGCGCCAAGGGTCCGCCCTGGGGCTGGGGCAGGGGAAACAGGTGGGGGTGGGGAGAAGGGGCGGCGAGGTAGCCAGGGGTCCAGCCGCTCCCCTGTGTTGCTGTGCTTGCCAGCACAGACCCCGTGTGGGCCCGGGGACGTCCTGGGTGTTGCTGGATTCAGGCCACTCTTTCTCTACCTCTGGATGTCTGACCTTCCAGAACATCTCCCTCAGGTAGGTTCTGTGTGTTATGTCATGTAATATGCATGTGGCCATGTGAAGTTGGTGGTGATAGACCGTTTTTTGTTTGTTTTGTCCAGCTTGTCCATGTGTATTTTCTTTTGAGCTATAATTCACATACCAAAAAAAAACACCCTTTTAAAGTGTATAACTCAGTGGATGTTAGTTGATGGGCAGAGGTGTGTAGCCATCACCAGTATCTAATTCAGTCCATCACCCCCGAAACAACCCCGCACCCATCAGCAGGTGCTCCCCACTTTCTCTCCCCCCGTGTCTGGCAGCCACAAACCTGCTTTCCATCTCTGCGGGTTGGCCTCTCTGGACATTTCATATAGATGGACACTACGTGGCCTTTTGTGTTTGGCTTTTTTGGCTCAGCCTAATGTTTTCATACTTGTCTATTTTACAGGCAAGGCAACTGAGGCTTGGAAAAATCCAGGCCGCCTGCCCCGAGAGGTAGAGTTAGGGATGGGACTGACTTGGGGTTGAATTCCCTCGTCTGCTTCCTTTCCACTTCACACTCCACTCCTCGAGCGGCCACGGGGGTGGGACCTGCTGTGCCTGAGCCCAAGGGCGGGGTGCACCCCCTGCCCTCTGCCACCCTGGCTGCTGGTGGAGGCAGGAAGCTGTGGTTGCAGGTGTAGACTCTGACCCAGCGAGGGGGACACAGGGCCCTTGTCCCCTGCCCCACCCCATGTTCGGTGGCCAGGGCACCCTCCCGGACAAGGATGTGTGTTAGGGCAGAACTGCTGCACTGGAGCATTTATCACCCTGGCGCCAGCAGTGAGACTGTTCGGTCACTTGTCTATTAGTTGCGCCCTGAGCGCTTCCTGAAAGTGCTGCGGTGCTGGCCAGGCAGGCCGGGACTGTGCCAGGGCCATTCGCAGAGAGTCATAGATAAGAACAGAGCGTGACAGGCTAAGGGTTGTGCCAGAAAAGCAGACAGAATTGGCTTAGGAGTTAGAGACTATTGGCTTTAAACACTGGCTCTACCATTTGCTATCTCAAGATCTTCCAAGAATCAGTTTCTCCACCAGCAAAACAGAGCAGGCTTATTGTGTATAATGCGATGTGGGCTTACTGTGAGGATTAAAGTAAATATACTTATAGCAGCTAGTGGAGAAGCCAAACAATAGTAGTTTTATTTCCAGAAAACCTAGGTTGACATTAGCAGGTAAACACTGAGCTTCCTGGCAGCCAAGGAAAAAAGGGAAATATAAGGACACTAAGTCTCACCCCGAATCAGGAAAGCACACCATGAAGGAAGTAGAATGGCACTAAGTGCTAAAAAGAGTGGAGGTAGTGCTCTTTAAGAGGTGACAAGTATCACCACTGGGGGCAATAGTGTGCATCTCCATCTGTGACAGGTACAGATGTAATCCTCATAAGATTGAGCCTCAAATCAACCATCATAATGCAAAAAATATAAAGAAATACCAGGTGGAATGTCACCCTTGATGTCTGACTTACTAAAGGAAAATATGAGCTCTGCCTTGGACTGTCCTGCTCCAATACTAACTGGTTCCCTCGAGTTTTTGACAGCCGCTAAATAAAGGAAGGGCTGAAGTGGCATCCTTGGACTTCAGGCATGGGCTCTGGGACTGGAGATTGGAGCCAACTCTGCCTGCACTTTGCAGCTGTGTGACCTTAGCCAGGCCTGTCCCCCCTCTGAACAGCCCTGTGTCCTCAGGATGACAAGGCTTTTCTGAGCCTGGGCATTCTTCCTCAGCCCTGGGTGAGTGGCCAACCTCTTCCCTCTTCCCTCCGGAACCTTGGTTTAGGTCCTCTTTAGTCTCCTCTCACACAAAGATGAGGAAGGCCCCTCCCTTTCAAGATAGCCATGAGGATGAGCTGAGGTATACCTGCAAAGCCCGTGGTGCAGAGCCTAGCCTGGCCTGTCACAAGTCCCTGGTCAGCAGTGACACCTGTGCTTGAATGGAAAGACCTAAATGAACGTGAAAATGGCCGAGTGACGTTCTGTAGTCCAAGTGACTTGTTCTGCTCTGAGCGGCATGGGCTGCAAGGGGGTCTGGGTTTCCTGAAGAAGCTCCTTTCCACTGGCTCAGGTGCCCCCAAGTAACTGCGCAAGGACACCAGCCCAGGGGGCTGCTGGCCCCGCACGTCTATGGAGTTGCCCACCTCCCACACCGGGCTGCCCCGCGTGCCTCCCGAGGAAGGGTTGGGTTTTGACCTGGACATGGCAGAGGTGTGGATCAGCCATTGAATGCAGGTGGTCAACTCTTCTGTTTGGGCAGGTGAGTTGACTGAGATTTTTCTTTGTCGTTAATTGAGAGGAAATTCATGTAACATCGGTGTACCATTCAGTGGCATTTGGCACATTGCTGTGTGGCCCCCACCTGCATCGAGCTCCGAAACACGGTCATCACCCCCAAGAAACCACATACCCACTAGCAGTCCCTGCCTCCCACCTCTTCCCCCAGCCCCTGGTGATCAAGAATCTTTGTTTCTATCGAAGGAACTATTCTAGACATTTTGTATGAATGGGGTCATACGTATGTGGTCCCCTGTGTCTGGTTTCTTTCACTTGGAATAATGTTTTCAAGGCTCATCCATGTTGTTGTATGTGTCAGTGCTTCGTTCCTTTTCACGGCTGAATAATATTCCATTGTATGGATAGAGCACATTTAATGTGTCCATCAGTTGATGGACATTTGGGTTGTTTCTACCTTTTGGCCATTGGGAACAGTGCTGCTAGGAACACCTACACACTTGCTTCAATGTGTCTTTTCAATTCTTTTGGGCTTACTACATACAGATATACCCAGGAGTGGATTTGCTGGTCAGACAAAATTTTGTCTTTAACTGTTTGAGGACCCAGATTGGGATCTTAATGTATTAGCCTGAAGCTGTTTCTCCCCCATGTATCTACGCCGTGTGCACAGTGGTTAGGACACAGGATCGGAAGCAGATAGCTCTGGGCTTGGATGTGTGGGCCCCCTGGTGAGTTACTCGCCCTCTCTGTGTCCCTCTTTCCCCACCTGCTCATCGCAGGATGGCGCAGGCGGCCCTGAGGGAGACGGTGCCTTCCAAGTGCCTGACTCCACGCCTGGCTCCGTAGTGTAAATTAAGTGGGAACGCTCATACCTTTTAGGGTTGAAATTTGTTCTCTTCAGAGCCTATTTCCGCCCACTCAGAATCGAGGAGGCTCTAAGTCGCTTGTGGGCTGCACTCAACAGAGAGGCTACGGTGAGGGGAGAGCTCAGGCAGGCAGGCGCGATGTGTGGCAGGAGCGCAATGTGCCAGCTGACAGCGCCCCTCGGTTGCACCCCGAAGAGCCTCGGCCCCCTGCAATAGTACTTTTTAAACAGCTGAGCGGATGGGGACTGCACTAGCTTCGGGGTGAGGGGGGACCGGGGAAGCCACTCTTATGCTGCTGATGCTGCCAGCAGGACCCAGTTAAGTGTTCCCATGAGCCAGGCAGTTCCTGATCTTCAAAGTAGGGGTGTTCTGCCCATTTTACAGATGAGGAAGAGGCTCTGAGAGTCTGGTTGCAAGGAAAGTCGGCTCAGAGGTGCCCCGCTGGGACCTGAATCTGCTTTTTACTCTTCCCACAGGCCCGCCTTGTTTTACTGGGTTTGCACGAGTGGCTGGCCCCAAACCTTGTGAGGAGGTGGTTGGCAGGTGGCGGGACCCCGGTGGGAGGGACCTGCCTTGGAGAGTTGGGGCGGCCACATTCCAGGCAGGCGGAGGAGGCAGGGCAGGGCAGCGGAGACCTCGCCCAGTGTGGTGGCTTTAGTAACAGCCCCATCTCACAGGCTGGCTGCCCCAGGCTCAGAGCAGGAGGTGGAAACAATCACAGCCCGAGTCCTGCCTCCCTCCTCGGGGCTCCCGCTGTCCCCAGGGCACTGCTCCCATCTTAGGGCCTGTCTGTCACCTTCCTTTCTCCTCCCCAGGCCTCTGCTGCTCTCAGTATCTGCCCCCGCCTGCTCCTTCTCCATCCCACTTTAGGAGAGGGACCCAGGGCTCTCTCCTTTGTCCCTTGAGATTTTTGTGTATGACATCCTTCCTGCTAATCAAGACAGGGAATCAGAAGCGAGGGTATCACAAAGGTTCCAGAACAGGATTTAAGCATTATTTCAGGTCCAGGATTTCAGTGTCCTGCCTGCTTGGAAGAACTCACTGACAGGTGTGCAAGGAAGATGAACTCTGCCCAGAGGCCTGGCCTTTGTGCTCAGCTCCTGGCAGGTGACCCCCTAGGACCTTGGACTGTCCTTCCTCATAAGAGTCTTTGTTTACCTGGGCCCCTCGGGCCAAGTGGGACCAGCCCAACCTTCCGAGGGGCTGGAGGTCAAGGTCAGCCATGTCTACATGACCAACCCCAATGAAAACTCCGGTCATCAAGGCTCTGGTGAGAGCATCCCCGGTGTGTGGGACTCTGTGCATAATGTCACCCATCAGTGCCGGGAGAAACGGGTGCTCTCTGTACCACCCCTCTGGGAGGGGACAGCTCAAGGCTGCGAACCTGGCGTCTCCTGGTCCTGGCTCAGGTCACGCGCCTGCCTCTTCTTCCCTTTGCTGAGTGTGGCCTGCATCCTTTTGCTGCCGTGATCTGCAGCTATGCGCATAATGGCTTCGATGAGTCCTGTGAGTCCTTCTCATGAATTATTGAAACTGAGGGTGGTTTGGGGAACCCTGAACTTTGTAACAGGCATGAACTTATTTGTTAAAATGTGTACCTCAGGCTTATTGCCTCCGTTTTACAGACAAGAACACTGAGGCTCCGGTGACCTGGTCCAGGGTCCCTGGCTAATAAATTAGGGGCCCGGGGCCCATGCGTCCCAACAGCCTCCCTCCTCCGGCTAGCATCAGCTGGAGAAGGGGAACAGAAACACACAGCACGCGGCTGTCCCCAGCTGGAGTTTATTGGGTGCTTGTTGCGGCAGCGGCCGTTCGCCTGGTGCGGCACTGGCTATGTGGGCCCTCCTGCCGTGCAGACCTAGGGGACTCGGCACAGGCCTAGGCGGGGCACTACGGGGTCTTGGCTTCTATCAGGTAGAGGAACGTCAACCAGGAGTGGAAGAGACGGAGGGAGAGGCGGGATCTGCAGAGGGGGTGAGTGTCGCTGAGGTCGGAGTGGGCCAGTGTGGTGGGGGCTGGGCATGCGTGGCCATGTGGTTGGGGTGAGGGGTGAGGGAGCTGGCTCCAGGAAGCCTCCCTGTCCCTGTCCCGTCCCCGCAGGCTCTGGCTTCAGCAGGGCCCGGCCACTCAGACGCTGCTCTGACAATAGGGCTGGGGGGATGCCGGGGAGAGGGGTTCGCCTTCACCTCAAACAGTGGGAAAATACACTCTTGTTTGGAAGTATATTGAAAAGACAGCTCATATACCAAAGTTTCTAGAAAAGAAGGGGCATCCTTTATAAGAAGGGAGGGCAGGGTGCTGGGCTCATCCGCAGGGTGTTTGCTGGGAGCTGGTCAGTCTCGGCCCACCGTGCACCAGGCAGCTAGTGATGGGGCAGGAGAGAAAGAGAGGAGGTTGTTGGACCCACAGCCTCTTTCCTATGTCCCATGGGGGCTGCAATGAGGGGCAGGGCAGGCCTCCCTCCCCTGCACCCTTGGACCAGGGGCTCAGGGCAGGAGAGCGGCACCTGCAGGCACCCCGCCCCCGCCCCGATTCCAGGGCCCGCCCTGCGGGCGCCAGGCTGGGCTGGCCGCCGGTGCAGAGGGGAGGCTGCACTGAGCAAGGCTGCGGGCTCTTCCGTGGGGTGCAGAGGTGCTTGCTAGTTGTCCTGGTGGCAAATCCCATGCATGTGGGGGTGATGTCAGTTGGGCTGTGACTGTGGGGAGGGCCTGCCCTGGACTGGGGGACACTTTCTGTGCCTATGGCACAGACCCACCACACTGGTACCCTTGGCGCTTGGCCTTCGGTCTCATCGGAGGCCCTGTTTCTGCGGCCTCCCCTTTTGTTCTGAGGCTGTAGAGCCCATTTATGTCCCTGGCCCTGTCCTTCCACTTCAGGGGTTGGCCTGGCACTGGCCCCTGGCCTCCTCCCCCTAGGACCCTCTCTGCACTCCTGGCATTGACATCGCACACCCCCTTGAGGACTATAATTCCTGGCAGCTAAGGGAGCAAAATAAAGGGTCATTGGTAGATTCAGGCATTGCCCTTCCTCCAACTCAGCCATCGGGGCCTCGAGATGGCTGCTGCGGGAACCAGGGACCGGTGGCACCCGCGGGGCTGTTCCAGGCCCCTCCCCGCCTGCCCTCTACCTGGCACCGAGATCCTGGAGAGGGCCTCAGGCTGGCTCAGCGTGTCCACCTTCACATGCCGGAACGCCTTGCACACGGGGCTCTGCAGGTGCCTGCAACCCAGGGGGCGCTGATGAGCACTTGGGTGGGAGCCTCGGGGACAGGCGCCAGGGCTGTGGTCCAGTTCTAATCCCGGCTCTGCCCAGGAAGGGGGCTTAAACACCAGTCAGCCAATCCTGGGGCTCAGAGCCATCATGTGAAGAGATGGTCAGGTCCCGCAGAGTGCGTGGCAGGTTTGTGGGGAAGAACAGCCTGTCTCTTGCCTCCCTGCGGGTGTCCTTCACGGGTAACTTTTCTGGATTTTTATCCTCTGGGGCAGCAGTTTTCAAACAGGAGTGGCCTTGGCCTCAGATCCTAGCGCCAGGGACCTGGATTCAGAGCCCAGCTAAGGGGGAGGAGGGAGAGCACACCCCACGCTGAGAAACGCTTCCTTCCATTGTCTCAAGGGCCCACGCGGCCAACCAGGCCAGCATTCTGGGTCGCAGATGCTGCTGGAACCTGGGCTCAGTATTCCTCTCCCCCCTTCCCCGCACACCCCCGCCCCCCAGCCCCGCTCCTCCACACTATCTGGGACAAGGAAAGGTGCTGGGGCAGCCCCGCCTCCCTGCATCCTCCCATCTCCCGAGCAACTGCCGCAGCCCCGGTGTCAGCAGACACGGCTGTGCTACCTCTTCCACTCCTCCTCCGTCTCCCAGAACTCGTACACCACGAAGGTAAAGCCGTCCGACAGCCTCCCAGCGGCGATGCTGCAAGGGGAGCGGACAGGTCGGAGTCGGGGGACTAGCCGGTGCCACCCACGGGCCTGCCCCCCCAAACTGTGGGAAGCTGGGGCACCCAGGGTGTCCCGGGACCGGCAACCAGTTTGTGACCCAAGGCCGTGACCCACAGCGCTGTGGCCGCCTTTCTGCTGGGAGCGACCCAGAGCCTCCAGGACCGGCCGCCGAGTCTGAGCGGTTCAGCATGTACCCCGCCACGCAGAGCACGGCCTGGCACCAGGTCATGGCCAAGGCGTGTTTGTTGAGTGAATTATAATGAAATGTCATTTTAAAGTCTGAATATTCATTTTCTCCTGTCACGCTCTCCTTCATAACCGTCACCTCATTCAATCCTTACAACAAGCCAGTGAGTCAGAACTGGCTCACTGAGGCTGGGGGAGGGCCCTGCCCTGGGTGGGTGGTCCTGCAGGTCCCAGGTCCCTCCTGTGTGACCTGTGTGAGGGTGACAGGCCACTCACCTTGATCTAAATAGGACTGGTGCTACCTGGACCGGGAGACAAGGCAAGGGGGTGCTTCCAAGAACGTGGCAGACCTGGGGGACGGGAGGCTGACCTCCAAGAGCACCACGTCAGCTGTAACTCTACCCCTCTGGCCTCTCGCCTGCTTCTCCTTTCACGGGCTCAGCAGAACAGAGTCACCGCGCAGTCCCTGGGGTGGGGGGAAGAGCTCTGCCATGGGTGGTGTCTGCTGGGTAATTACAGGCAATTCCAGGTTTGCCACCAGGATAGAAGCGGGGAAATAAGGCTGCTAATAGTATCATTAGTTCATTACGCTCCAGCTAAAATTACAAGTGGAGCTGTGGGCTGGTAATTTGATGAGAGGATGGGGGATCGGGCATGCGTGCCGCCCTCTGATCAGATAGAGCCGTGGCCCTTTGCCAGGTTCCGAAGGGGCCGCTTACGGGCCTTTCTCTCTGTGACAGGCAAAGGTCTTTGGAGCAATTTGGTGCCTCGAAGTTTGGCAACAGCAGGAAGATGAAAGCAATCATGGTGATTGCATTTGCTCAGCTGAGGAGGCACTGACTGGGTTTTTTTTTGGGGTGGGCGCATCTGGGTGGGAAGGAAGATAAAGCAGGCAGGATGGGGTACAGGGAGGACGCAGCACGCGAAGCCCGACTGCGCGGTCACCACTCCACCCCACCTCGTGCTGGGCCCCCACCTCCCCCACAGTGAGTGCGCTGCCGCCACTGCTGCCCCACCCCCAGCCCGCCCTCTCCCAGGACCTCTGCACTCCTACACTGGCACCTCGCCTGGCATCGCACATTTAACATGGCCCAAATGGTCTGTGTGACTCCCACACACCAACATGCCTGGCCGCCCTGACTCCCCTAGTTCCGTGCACGACACCAGCCTCTGTCCGGTCCTTGAGGCCAGGGCATCTCAGGTTCCAAATGCCCCGCGTCTCCTCCTTCCACAACCCCATCTCCCAGACACCAGCCAGTCTGGCCAGATATACACTCCAAAGCATCCCAGCTCTAACCACGTCTCGCCGAGGCCAAGCCCGCACGGCCTCTCTCTCCCTGGCCACCCTGCTGCACCTTGCTTCCCTCCCACCCCTTCTGCACATGAAGGAGACCAGACCATGTCTCGCTCCTGCCTACAGCATCTCCGAGAGGGTCCCCTGTACTCCAAACAAGCAGGGCAGAGGTGAGTGGGTCCTGCCTGCCACCCCTGGCCCTTGCACCCTGTCACTCTGTCCAGACACCAGCAGCTTGCTTTGTTTCAAAAAGGGCACCCTTGATACCTCCTCAGGCCATGGCACCAGCTGATGCCCCCGCAGACGTGCCCTCGCTCAGATCCTGCGGTCTGGATGCTCAGGCCTCAGTGCACGTACAGCCTCCTCCCTCTCCACAGCCCCTTTCTTCTCTCGAAGAGCCCTGCTCCCGGGCCTCCTCAGCACCCATCACCCTTTAGAATCGTCTCTCTTTGTCCTCTCCTGCCACCTACAATAAACGTTCAGCAAGGGCAGCCACCTGATGCACAGCTGTCTCCTCAGGGCCCAGCCCCCAGGAAGAGGACAAGGGCACACTAGCCCTCAAGGTGGAAAAAGCAAACTGGAGAGAGAATTGAGGCAGAGAACGGCACAGAGGCCATGGCTACTGTGCTGGGCACAGATGGGACGGGAGAGGGTCCAGCGGTTTGTGCCAACAGCCTTCTGGGACCACCCCCAGCAAGGGAGAGGGCTGTCATCTTTTGTGACCCAATTTGATGTGGCCAGGGTGACCTGGTGCAGCTTTTCCAAAAAGCAACGCAGGTCTCAGCAGCTGGGACCAGAGGGCGAGACACCGAGGGGCAGCCACATGCGAAGAGCAGCAGCTGACGTGGAGCGAGCTCTGCGCACTAGGCAGCAGCCCAAGCCCTTCACATTTGGCATTTCGTTTACGGCTCCAGCAAAGGCAGGGAGTAGGTCCAGTCAGCGGTCCGCATTTGCTCAGTGGGGAAGAGCCTGCCCTAGGACTCGAACCCTGTTTTTCCTAACCACCCTTGCTAGGCGCTTTCCTGGGCTACAGGTTGTCCACAGGGGTGGTCCTGTCCTGCCCCCCACCCTCAGGCCAGCTTCCAGCCACCACCCAGCCAGCAGCCTACTCACTGGAAGCAGTTCCTGGCTCCGGCGGTGCCCCGCAGGTACTGGCGCAGGGAGTCCAGGAACTCGCTCAGCTGCTCAGGGCACACGGCCATCTCCTGCCGGACCAGCTGCAGATGCTGTGGGGCCAGAGGGTGAGTGAGCCCCTGCTGGCTCCCTGACAGCGCCCTGCCCCATGGGACACCCCCACCCCGGCCCCCACACCACCGCCCCATGGGTAGAGCCCAGGCAGGACCCAGCCTCCCCAGACCTCCCACCAGAGAAGGCAGGACAATTCGGTCAAAACAAAACAAACAAACAAAAAAAGCCTGTGTATACACACTTTTCACTCTTACACGTGAACACTGGCTAAAAGAATATCAGAACTTAAAAAGACAAATGCAGGTAGTAGTCCCGCAAATGCTGAAAAACGGACAAGGGGATTTAAAGAGGCTCTACAGAGTCCAGAGCTGCCTGTGGGGCAGCTGGGTCTGAGACACAGCAAAGCCAGTGACCAGGGACACTCATTTCTGATTGAATCCATGTTTTGAGATCACTGTCTTGTTGATCACTCTGTTCCAGGCCAATCTTTTTTTGATCAAAACCCTGGTGTCTCAAAGAACACCCGTGGAAGGGGGTGCTGACCCGGGGCTGGGCCTCTGTCTCTCCCCACATGGTGGTTCCTGGGGATGGGGCGGCAGGGCCATTGAGCCCCCTGCATCCTGCGTCCTGGGCTCCGCAGGGGCGAGGCTTCAGGAGGGCAAGGGAGGTCTCAGGGGAGGGGGCCCTTACCATATTGGTGCCTTCTTCATCCGAGAGGCGCTGCTGCAGGTCAAACCAGAGGGTCTGAAACAACAAAGCATAAAGGGAGGCTGGGGACAAATGCCACCTCCATCCGGGAGGCCTCCAGGACCACAATGACACTGTAGCACCCAGGGCCACCACAGCGTTCCAGCCCCTCCATGCCAAGGTCCCGGGGAGTCCCCCAGGCTAGTGGGTGCTCCCAGGGGCCTGGTCTCACTGGACAGGGCTCAGTCCACCCTGCATGCACAGTGCTGGCTCAGTGGGGACCCAGGAAGCCAGGCTGGAAGGCCAACCGTGTCGGAAGTGGCGGAGATCCCTTCTGGCCCTGGCATCTGGGGACACTGGGAGCCACCGAGGCCAAATAGACCTACTGCAGAAGCCATGAAGGAAGCTCTACTTTTGGGGGGATGGGCACGCCTTGGGAGACACAGCAACTGGGACTCAAGAATCCTGAATCCAAGATGCTGGTCTTTTTGCCGTAACTGCTGGCAACAGCCCTCATATTCCCCATCAACTTACAAATCACTTCAGTCTCAACCCATAGTGATGCTTAAATCCAACGGTCTGAATGGAGTGTCTGTTTTCACTGGCCTTCCACAGGCCCTGGGCTAAGTGCTTTATAAATACATCTTATTTAACTTCCCAGACTCCCTGAGGTAGGTGCTGCCCCACTGCAAGCTCCAGGGAGCAGGAACCCTGTGCCCGATGTTTATGACCACAGGTTGGTGTGGGCCCAAGATCTCACGGATGCTCAGTGGCCACTATTTTAGCAGAGAACCCTGGGCTCCAAAGGCCACTAAAGGAGCCTAGGTTTGACCTTGGGGCTTCTCTCTTCCTGGCACAGAACCCTGGTTCTCCCCCCTATAACTTGGAGACTCTCCCAATAAATGCCCCCCCTGTGCCCAGCCCGTCCACCTTCCCTGAGGACAGCCCGTGTCTCTACTGCAATCACACACTCAGGTCTTTTCCCTCTTACAGGCTATGTGTGTGACCCACTGGCTTGTTTTGAAGGAAAACAGCCTGGCAGATGTGTTGGCCTGTGACCTGTGTGGGTCACCCCCTTGAAATTCTTAATGTTTGAACAAGGGGGTGCTCATTTTGCACTGGACCCTGTGAACTACACAGATGGTCCTGGAGCGGAAGCTGACTTTTCCTGGACATGCGGTGTACACCTGCTTTGTAGGTAGCCAAGGTGTGTCTGTCGGGGGCAAGTCTGTTTCCATTGTTTTATAACCATGTAGGTGGGCTCCTAGAGGGCAGGGGCTGTAACTGGTTCTCTTGGCTTCTTCCAGTTGGCAGGGCCACAGGAGGAGGAGGAGGAGTGGAAGATGGGAGGCGGGCACGATGGTACCCACGTACCTGCTTCCAGCCCGGCTGCCCCAGCGCTCCATCCTCCAGCCCCAGGCAGAGCCAGGAGTGGCTCAGGTTAGCCCATGGAGGGCGGGGCTCGGAGCCGGTCCTGGATTGGGCCAATCAGAAGCCGGCGAGTAGGGCCCCGCCCAGTCTTCAGGACACCCAGGTGCTCACAGTTGCCAGCCAGCCGGTTGTTAAGGCGACTGGGGCGCTAAAAATAAACTTCAAAGAGCCTCCCTCAGCAGGCGCGGATGGAGTTGTTATGACAACCAGGCCACCGGGTCCACAGAATGCTCCCACCCAGCGGCCGCCCTCATGGGGGGCAATTCCACCTTGGCCTCCACCCTGCAGGAGGGATCAGTGCCGCTTCCCTCCAACTCCCCCCAAGTCTTGGCCTCGGCCTCCTCCTGCCCCCACAAATACCTCAGAACCAACCTCCAGACCCATCAAAGTATGTTTTATTATTTTTTTTTTGCCTTTTTGCAAAAGATATAAGAAATTCACAAAGTCAGAGAAACGCAAAATTGCTGCAACCCCGGGCTCTGAGATACTTGGTTTATGTAGGTGTATGGATATGGCATGTACATCTGTATAGTTTTTGGCACCAGAATGTCTAATAATAATTGCTAACACTGCTAATGTTAAGTGCTGGCTTCACAGCAGGCTCTGTGCTAAGCCATTAAGACATCATTTTATTTATTCCTCACAACAACCCTGGGAGCAATAATAGTCCTTTTTCCCCCCTCTGTTGTTACGAGGAAGAATCTGAAGCTCAGAGAGGGTAAGCTACTGGCCCAAGGCCACGCAGCTGTTAAGTGGTATGGCCAGGATTCAAAGAGGGGAGGCTGATGCCTGAGTTCGCTTGAAAACCTTAAGGCAACCTGCTTGCTTTCTTTCAAGAAATGGTCGCTGTTATGGGCTGAATTGTGTCTTCTCCCAGTGAACGACCAATCCCCAGTACCTCAGAATATGACTGCCTTTGGAGACAGGGCCTTTGAAGAAGTATTTAAGTTAAAATGAGGTCACAGGGTGGGCCCTAATAGCATATGACTGGTGTCCTTATACGGAGGGGAGATTAGGACACAGACACACACACAGAGGGAACACCGTGTGAGGACACAGGGAGAAGACAGCTGTCTGCGAGCCAAGGAGAGAGGCCCCAGAAGGAACCAGCCCTGCCCACACCCTGATCTCGGACTTCCGGCCTCGAGCTGTGAGGGAACGGGCGTTGTTTGAGCCCCAGCCTGTGTGCGGTACGTGTGATGGCAGCCCCAGCAACCTGGTACGGCCTTCCTGTGAGTACCCACTGAGTCATGAACGGTCACTGAAACACCATTCTGTAAAGGCTGGGTCATTTTCTATTATCTGTGGCCGTGCCATATCATATTTCAAAGGTTGCTGCCTGCTGGTCATTCCGGTAGTTACTCATCTCTCCTGGGACGTCACCATCCCTCCTCGCTACCACACTGGGTCTTGGCTCTCCCCGTCCAGGCCCCTTCAAGCTCCTTGAAGCTCTGTCCCCTTGCCACCCACAATCTTGTTGACTACGACCTGCTCCTTGAGACACCCCTCCTGGCTGCCCGCCCATCTCGCCACGGTCGCTTCTTGCCCGGGCTCCTCTCCTTGAGCCTGTACGATGGAGGGTCTGTCCATATTGTGTCTTTTTCCACACTCCACTGGGTGTTGCCTCTCCAAGGCTCCCTGACTGCTGTCTTCAATGCCCAGCCTACCTCAGCCCTGCCTGGGGCCTGGGGAGCCTGGCGGGATGAGGTGGGGGCTCGGCGGCCGTACCTTGGTCTCCAGCCGTCCTATGAGCTCTGCCAGGCGGCTGATCTGGACTTCCAGACCCTCCTCCTTGGGCTCTGAGGTGACTGGGAAAGAGGAACAGAGACACTGATGTTGGGCAGGCCCAGGCGGCTGGGACAGGCACTCCCAGACTCCCCAGGGGCTGAGACCTGCCCCTCCCTCACAGTTCTAATCCCACTTGAAGGCCCAGGCCCCATCTGGGCCACTGTCAGAATTCCCCCCAGGACACCCACCCGATGCCCCCGAGCCCAGGTCGCCACGAGCTCTTACCAGAAGGCAGGCTCTTTTCTTGTTCCGAGGCCATGAGCTTGTGGCCGGGGGCGTAAGGGGCAGGGGGGCTTCCATACCAGGTCTGCACCACGCCGGGGCCGGGCTTGTTGTGGTTCTGGCTGCAGTGCAAGTGGGAGAAACACACACCCTGAGGGAGGCCGCAGGGCCCTGACCACTTTGGGCAGCTTGGACACACGTTAAGCACCCGCTGTGCGCTGAAACATGCTCAGCTTACTGCATGGAGCCTGTCCCTGTGAAGGCCAAGACCACGCAGCCAGCAGGGCAGAGTCGGGGTAGGGTCTCAGCCCAGGCCCCGTTCCCAGAAGCTTCAGTTCCAGGCCCCTGCTCCCACCCAATGGCTCACAACTTCCCCCTCCCCGCACTGGCTGCCCCACTAGGAGCCAATCTGCTGCCCTGTGGGGTGGTGGTGGAGGCCTGGGTTTATACCCTCTCAGAAAAAGGGAGCCTAAAGACACGGTCCAGAGTAGACATGTGACAAGACAGTGAAACCTGTGATTCTGACCTCAGCAGGGTCCTAGAGAGAAGGGCCAGGCCTGATGGCCAGACCCCACCCCCACCCCCGCCCCCACCATGCACCCTGCCCGGTCCGCACGTGCACAGCCCCCGACAGGCACATCGGCTCACCAAGCACCCTGCCTGGCAAAACAGCAGGCGCTCAACCAATGCTCAGCAAATGTCTGAACACCCACGTGCAAAGAGATGCTGGAAAACTCAGCACAAGCTTATAAATACGCACTGATACGCGTGTCCACATACAACACATGCACACTCCCATGTGCATGGCCCAGCCCTCTTTTGCCTTTGGGCAGCACTGCCTTGTGCGTTCTGGACTCTGTGAACCTGAACGCTCCTAAGTTCCCCTGGGCAGAGGGCAGACCCAGCTCAGCCGCAGCACCAGAAGGACGCGGAGTCTTTGAGGTGTCAATCCTGGCAGCTCTGCAAACCAGCAGCAAATTAAAGGTGACCAGGACCAGGGGCAGCGGGGTTTGGACCAGCCACTTATGCCTGGAACACGACATCCTCCAGGCCAGAAAACAGAATGGCCTAAGGGGACTTGCAGCCCAGGGGAGGTGAAATAGCTGGGGTCTGGGGCAGTTGGAGGTGGGAGTCAGTGTGGAGCAGATGTGTCTACCCCTGCCACCAACATCCCAAAGTGAGGTCCCAACGTGGGGGCGGACACGTGACAGAACTAGGAAAATGCCGGAAATCAGCTCTGAAAATCGTGCAGCCGTCTTATCTGTCTACAGCAGGATAAAAATAGCAAGTTTTTAATCAGGATAGTGACAAAAAAAGGAAGGCAATCGCTGTCAGCTTCCAGAGCTGTGGCTAACTTTGGGGACCCTTCGAATCACAGGACTGATCGCTGATGCAGAGTTCTGGGCTCTGCTCCCAGAGATCCAGTCCAAGGGGCATGGCCGGGGGCCCCAGGGATCTGCATTTCCCATTTCCCAGGTGATTTGGCTGCACGTGCTCAGGAGAGTATCATTGAGCGGCTTTGCAATCACATCTGACTAGGACCAGCCCCTCAGCAACTGAAAACACATACTCACACCCCCACGCCCACCCCACAGCGACTGACACCCTGCCATGCCAGGCCCCTGCCTGGGAAACCGGCAGCCACGCACAGAAACTCAAGGATCAGTGATGCTTAGCCCAGGCACCTGGCTCTTGCTCCTGTCTATCTTTATTTCCCCTCTATGCCAGACACATCAGATGTTCTGGAAAGAACAGGCAAGGAGAAGTCTGTCTCATCTTGGGACAGTAAATGCGAGGGCTCATGGCCCCCCCAGAACTGGCACTGTCGAGCAGGAAGAGAACTGTCCCTGTCTAGACACAGGGCTCGCCACCTCCACAGTGACGAGGGGGGACCCCAGAAGCTTTTCCATGGCTGACAACAGGTGCTTAGCTTTGCGGTGACTTCACTCATGGCGCATGATGCTTGCTTTCCCATTACGGTAACCACGTGCCGTTTCCAAAATCTATTGCCGGTGTTCAAAAATAAGTCAAGCAACAGAACAGTCTTGAGTAAAAAGTAACGTGAGTGGTATTGGATGTGGCAAACTGATCAGAGTCTAGGAAATAGCGGTCGCTGTATGTCCGCACTGTAGGAACGTGCTGCACGCACAGCAGGCGTTCTAAGCAGATGTTACCTCATTCAGCCCTCACAGGCACTGGGAGGCAGGCATAGCATTGTCTCCATCTCACAAGCGGGGGCACAGAGAGTGGGGGCAGCAGCTTGCCCAAGGTCACCCGGTCCTCAAGCACACAGATACCCCTGCCCCAAGCAGGAGGCTGGCACGTGCCCTTGCGCGTGTGTGTCATGCCCCCATGTGACCCTGCAAGGTCCCCTGGACGCACCGGATCTGGTTTGTCTGCTCTTCAATGGCCTCCACCGCACTCTCCACGGAGCTCAGCAGCGACTGGATCTGATTGGCAGTCTCCTTCAGGAGGAAGCGGGTCACGAACTGGTCCACATTGCTCCCACCCTCGTACACCTGTGGAGGGAAGAGAAGGGACACAAAGGGTTAGAGGGCTGGGGAGGAACCTTGGGGGTGTGGGGACTGACAGAGCTGGGGGAACACCCGAGGCCCGTGTCTTTGCCTTGCAGTGGGAGGGGCACCCGTTCCACCACTGCCCGTGGCCTCAGAGAGCAGGGTCTGAACCCCGGCCTCGCCACGCACTGGCCCTGGGGCCTCTGTCGCCATACCAGCAGTCACTGTGGCGTCACCGCGAGGAGTAAATGACAAAATGTGTACACGAGTAAAACGCTCAGCAGTGTCTGCCATGTAGCAAATACTCCATAAACAGCAGCTGCTGTGATAAAGCTGACGGGGTGACGGCGATGACAGCGAAGACGGAGACAGGGTGAGAGTGAAGACAGTGCTGTGAGGGAGGTGGCGATGACGTTAACGAGGACCGTGGTGGCGCCGGTGGTTACGGCGAAGAGACGACAATGGTGGTGACCGTGATGATGGTGGCGAGGATGATGATGGTGGGGCGACGGCGATCGGTGGGACTGTTCCTGAGGTGGTTGCCGACGGGGGTAACATATTAGCGGGGAGTTCACAACCTCTTCTCTCCCCTCCTCCTCCAGGGAGGACTCTTTGGGCTCCTGGGCCTTCACACCCCTACTCAGAGAAATGACAGGCGGCGAGAATGAAAAGTGGCCGAGGGCTTACACAAAAGACAGTGCCCGAGACTCCGTGGTCAGAGGGAGGGGCGAGGGGACCCTGCGGGGGGGTGTGGGGAGACAGAGACCACGAGGAGAGGGCTCCGGGGAAAAGGTGGACAAAGACGGATTTCTTCGCCCCCACAAGTTTCGCTCTGGAGACGTGAGACAGAATTTCCCCTTTTGTTAAGAGACTGCAGCAAAGACATTTCTTAAGATTTCAGGAACCCGCTGAGTTTCTTTTGGCTGCACAAGAAGGCTTTATGGCAGAAGGGAGAGGGCTCTGGTTTAGCCGGGTCACTGAAGGATGGGAACAATCAAAACGACGTTGTGTTGGAAGATGCTGTTCCCAAAACCCTGCGCTGCTCTCCTGCCTCCTCCGCCAGGCCTGACCTTCCACAGCCACCTGCCCTGGGGGATCCTGGAATTCTGCCCAGTCTCTGGCGAGGCGAGGGAACACAGGGCTCTCAAGGAAAGCAAATTAAACCATCCATCACTCTGACTGGGAATTAATTAGAAATAATTACACTATGGGAAACATGGCCAGAGACAGAGAAATAGAGGCAAGGGTGGGGAGTGGGCATAGAGGGATGGGGTGCAGAGAGGCCAAAAGGAGGGGCGCACACAGATGGGGAGGAGTGGAGGTGGAGCAGCTGGGCCGACCACCAGACCAGGTGTGTGGGGGGTGGAGAATGAATCTGTCTGTGAGCTTCTGGGAGCCCGATGCATTGCAAGATCGATCATCGTTCCTGGCAGACAAGTGAACTCACACACAACCCAGTGATCAATGCGCTCTGAACAAACAAATGACCAAAAGTGAACAAGATCCATGGTAAAAAAAATTTAAACACAAAGAGAAAGGCTGCAAAAAGCCATGAAACAGGAAAATGAACTGAAGTATGTGGGTTAAAAGCACACAGATCAGTGACTGAGGGTGTGTCTGGTCAGGGGTCAATAAGTGTAACTGGTTAAATTCCAAAAAGACAAGTTATGTTCAACAGAGTAAAAATGCAGCTTTTACGACTTTCTCCTCCACCACCATTGGAGCCTCAGCTGAAACCAGTCCTCCACAGATTCCAGAAGAAAAGGATCAGACCTAGGAATTTTGTATCACATGGGCAAATTACTCATTTGCAGTGTAACAGGGAGATACTCGGAAATCTGCAAATCTATGAAATTTTACCCGGTGAGCACCGTTCCTGCAAAGAATGCCTGGGAGCTTCTCCTGAATCGTCTAGGGTGAATCGGAGAGGGGATTCTTGGACAGCAAAGTTGTGAAGTAACAGCGATGGCCCACAGGGAGCACCGAGGTTGCAGAAGTCAGGAAATAAAACACATTAATCCCTCATCGTTAAACTTTAACTACACAGATTAAGTCACTAAAGAGTGTGAAGGTATGGAAAAATAACTGGAACTCTCAAAAATCTCTTTAATTCCACGAAAGGGAATAGGAAGTATTTTTATTCACTAGGTTTAAAAACAGAATTTTGAATGTTAACAACGTATGTTTTAGAAGTCACTAGTGAAATGAAAACTAGAATGTTCATCTTTGAAATTATAATCAATGCTATAAACAAACAGACCATGAGAAGATAAACTGTCAGAGAGGAGGGGGGCATAAAAACACGGGAAGCCTACAAGACAATGACAGCAGTTACGCTGCCCAGGGCACCACAGTAAAGAAAAGCAGCCTAAATTCCCCCATTTAAAGACACGGCCCCAGATCCGAGGAAACGAGACCCGGCTGGAGGCACGTGTAGACCAGGGAACTGACAAAGAAGGGTCTGTGCAAAGACTCTGCAACCAAATTTGATCAGACGAACAGGACAAGCTGCAATGCCCCTATCGAGGTAGAATGTAAATGAGCAAGTATTACACGCGAAAGGTAAGAACATAAGGACAGAAGGCGTAATGCATAACAAGGACCGGACGTTAATAAATCGTCGTGTGGTGGGAGAGGATATTGCTACCACGGCTATGGGGGTTCAGATGGGGACAGCCCCTTCATAAAGCAACTCTGCCTCATTTCAAGAGCCTTATACTGCTTCTGTTCTTTGACCCAGTAATTCTCCACTTTTGATAATCTAGCCTGAAGTAATAATGCAAAATGTGGACAAATATTTATGACCCTGTATTATTCAACAGCAAAAACCTGGAAATGTAATATGCCCAACAAAAGAGGAATAGGAAGTAAATTTAAATAATATTATTTACATTGAAGCCTCTGAACAGTTTTAAGGGGAAAAGTGTTAAAAACCTTAGGTAAAAAAAGCAGAGAACAGATTTTTGTACACAGGACAATATTAAATATGTTAAAGAAATACACATGGAAAAAAGGCTCAAAGGTAATAAACTAAAATGTGAATAGTAGTTAGGGGTAGTGGGAATTAGAAGTGATTGGAAATTTTTCTTTATACTTTTCTCTACTTCCTGATATTTACATGTTGAATATGTTTTATATGGTATAAAAATATTATACCACAGGTCTATAGGTATCAAGCTACATGGCTAGAAATATAGAAAGAAAAAACATTAACAATATACATTGCAAAGCACAATTTAGTGGGAGAAATTATCTCATCACTGTCTCATAGGACAGGTGAACAAAAACGCAAAAGACATTGTGAGGAAAAAGTGTGAAAGTCTTTAAAATGGGCAAAACAGATGACTGGGTTTCTTTTCTAGTATACCCTTCAGGGTTATCTACCTCTGCCCTTATGCTGGAGCTACTTTTAAAACTGGGAGATGTAAAAAAACCTGATAATAATTCAAATAATTCTCATCCACAGATATGCATGTGATTTTGCCGGGCAGGACGTACCGGGTGAGTGCCCTGTGGAGAGCGCGTGCTCTCGCAGAGTCGCCACAGGTTTCCCGGCTGCCCGCAGGCTCGGCGTGTGTGCTCGGGATTCTCCTTCGAGCCCGTTGTGACATCTTAGTGGTTCTCACATTAATGAATGAAGTAAGTAAGATCTTGGACATATGTGCCTTGTATATTTGTCCAAGAGACATGATTTTACCTTTTTGCAAAGTTGTCTTTTAACAGCAAAGATTTCCTAACAACGAAAGAATAGCTTTTTTTAAATTTTACTTTCTGAAAGCATGATCCACATCCTCTCAAGCATCCATGAGATACTTAAAAAAGTAAATTAAATAATGTCATAAAGAAATCACAACACATTAAAAAAATAGAGTGGGAACCTTACCAGTCACTCAGTTTTATCCTAATGGCATGAAATGACTGAGGACACAGATTATTAGAGAATAACATTAAAATCTATGGTTGCAGTGAACATACCATTCAAAAGTAAGTGTTTAAATTCAAATTTTATTGTAAAAAATTTAAGCATTCTAGTTCATGCATGAGAAAAGAATAGCAACAACAATAAACCTAAGAAAACAGGAGGAAGAAAATAATAATGATAAAAACTAGAAATACAGTAGAGAACATTGTGAAATTTAAATAAATGTGTTAGGGGCTTGATATTAGAATGAATTAGAACTAATGAAAATGAGCAAAACTCTGTCAAATATAACTTTTTTAAATGTTGCAAAACAGAACAAAAATTAAAACAAGAACTGAGCTATAACAGATGTTTTATTGAACTTAATGTGCATTAAGTACCCATTTTGTGTGTTTTACATTTTTAAAAAATTCTAAGACCATACAATGCATAATTGATCATAAAACTGATCATGTCCCTGATAGCTTTTTTTAAAACTATACTAAAATGGACTTAAAAAATAAAAAAATTTAACTATAACTAGGATTGACCTTAAAATAACTATTAAAATAATCCCCTCCTGTTTGGTACCTTGACTCAAACTGCATGGATAAATTCTCTCTATTTTTGAATAGAAAAGTAATCCTGTTAGAGAAATTGATTCATACCCAGAAAATATTCAAAGCTATCCAATTCCTCCAATTCATTCCCAAACTATCATCGATTCTCAGTGCCTGATTGAGACAGAGATAAAACGCTCAGCTGGTGACAAGGATTCAGCAATGTGATGAAAGAATAATGCCCCAATTAGGATTTATCACAGCAAGCCAGGGGCTGTTCAATAGGAGAGAATCTAATAATAGAATCCACCCCATCAATAACTTCAGAAAACTCATACGATCATTTTACAAAGACCAAAAAGGCATTTGAAAAATTTAACTACCACCTCCAAAGATAAAATTTAATGAAGGGAATGCAAAAATAATTTTGAACAGGCTGAAGAGGATCCTAAAATAAGAGCTGGTACTAATATTATAATTAGTGGAGAAATACTAGAGAGATGTGCTTGAAAATAAGAGGAAAAACAAGGATGCCTGACCTAGCATCGTGGCAATGTTTAGGATTTGGGGGAAATGCGAGAGGGCTCAGCGGAGAACTAGGAGGAGGAGCACATCAGAGATGAAGACGACAGCACTGTAGTTCACAACTGATGCTCTGACTACACGGCAGCAAACGCAAACGAGTCAACTGAAACCAACAGATGCAAGAGATGCATGTGAAATAATCAGCAAGCTGCATTTCTACACCCAAAAACTGGTTAGAAAATATGCAAGAAATGCCCGTCACCATGGCAACAACCTATTGTCTCCATCACTAAAAACGCTCCAAAGGCTGCATTGAACATCAAACATGCAGGATTTCTGAGAGTAAAATCTCCCAAACTGGTCCACGATGTATTGGTAGATGTTAAAATCCTCTCATGAATGACAACTTAGGTCACATTTCTGAAGTTTATGACCAAAACCAAGAAGCAACTACGGATGTTACCAATGGCTCTCGCGAACGTTGCTGAGAAGTGGCCCCATTCAAAGATGAGGAACCCAGGGCTCAAGGAGGTGGTTTCTGTCCCGAGGAGTCCCGTGCGGGTGTATGGTGCAACTCACACAGCGTGTCAGGAGCAGATCTGGGGCTGACGCCCTTGACCCGGTGGCTCAGATTCTAGAGTCCGGGTCTTCCATGCTCCGTTGCAATCCACCCCCTGCCTTGATACTTTCAAATATCAAACAGTACAAGGATGGACAATGAAAGGGAGCCTGTTTTATGTGTTATTAAAAGAGACTTTAAAACACCAAGACTCAAAACAGCATGACCCTGGGAATGTGAGTAGGGGAGGCTCAGGGCTGGGCTCAGCTAATTCAGGATCAGGAAAGAAGGAATTCCCCAATGCAATCAATGCAATGCAGAGCAGTAACTGAGTGGCATCTGAAAACATGTACACGACTGGTCTTGCCCGTGTCTAGGCATACAATAGGAGCCTAATAATAAAAACCCACAGCCACCTTTGCTCTGTGTCAGGCCCTATGCTAAGCTCAGAGACCTTCAGTCCTCATAAGGATCCTACAAAGTAAACGCTCCCATTCCACAGACGAGGAACTGAGGCTCAGAAAGGGGAGTGGCCGGCTCCGGCCCTTCAGCCGGGTCTGGCTGACTGTAACAGCTTCGCTCCCTGTCCTCTCCCAGCAAACGGGGCTGGCCTTCTCTGAGCTCCCATGGGTGGCTGTAAGCCCTTGGGTGTCTGGGTGCCCCTCACAGCAGAGCCCACTCCCAGCGTGCCCTGGGTGATGTGCCCAGGTGCCGCACCTACTCCTGGCTGACTGACACCCCCGTCACTTCTGGGAGGTCCCGTGCTGTGCTCCCCACATCCAGCCAGGTCCCTGACGCAGTTCCCCCTCTCGTTCCAGCCAGCAGATATGGCTGTCTGGCTACAACTCTGCAGGGTTCACCCTTCTGAGCCTCAGGAAATTCACTGCACGCCTTCTCCAAGGATGCAGAGAAAGGACACACCCTGCCTGTACCCTCTGGGAGCCATCAGCTCCGTGGGGGTACAGACCCAGAGGTTGGAAATGAAGCTTCGGGGTGGGCTGTTTACACCCATCTGAGCTACAACGGAGAAGGCACAATGACCCCCAGCCTGCAACCTGGCCTCACCTCCCCGCCTTCTGTCCTCCTCCAGGCATAGATGCAAACGAGGAGGAGACAGGACCGCAGGCGCAGACCTCACTCCAGGGCCGTAGAGTCCCTGCACTGCCAATGGTTCCACGGCTCGGCCCACGGCTTCAGGCCTGGACACGCGTTCTCATACCAGACACCCCCCGATTCCTCGGTCCAGGCCACGTGCGTGAACCTGCCCTTCCCCTTCCCATCTTGTAACCCAGCTGCAGAAGGGAACGAACTTGTCGGGCATGAAACCATGTCCGAGGACCCCAGAGGGCCAGGGCTGCCTGCTGCCCCCTCTCCAGGGCTCCATCCCAGGACTCCGCCCGATTCTGGGAGAGGGTCTCACCCTCCAAACCCGATTCCAGGCCCTGGGGGGACAGGGCCACTCACGGAGCTGCTCTACTCACCCCAGTTTACCTCGGCTCCCTCTCGGGGCCCCAAGCAAAGCCCACCCCAGAGCCAGGCCCGCTTACCACCTGTCATCACAAATCCAGGCACCCCCGGGTGCGGATGCCCCCGAGAAAATCGGGACTCAACGCGTGGCCCCCCAGAGGCCACCCACACCCGCTGACCTTCTTGGTGTAGCCCATGGCCTTCAAGACAGAATGATTCAAGGTCTCTAGGGAGGCCAAGACATCCTCATAGTCCCCCATGTGGTCCACAAAGTAATCTGGGGGGAAAGGGAGGAAAGGTCAGGGCTCATAGGAGGATTCTGCCCTTGGTACCAATCCCACTGAGCCCCCCTCATTCCCTCTCCTGAGTTCCCTCCCCCCACACCTCTTGGTCCCTGCAGAGCCTAGCTGGGTACCTACCACATAGCTCCTTGGTGTCCACGTGGCTGCAGAGAGAACAAGGGAGAGGGGGACTCAGAAGCCGGCCTGTCCCATCGCCCGCCCTCCCTCTGCAGTGCACGTGGCCTTTGCACTGGTAAAACCCCTGTGCGCCTTCCCTCTTCATTCCACGCTCTGGCCCCATGAGCCAGGCTTTGCAGGGGAGGGGGCAGCAGGTCAATGGCCCGCCCCCTGCAGAGGACCGAGCAGGGACCCATGCCGGCACCCCGTCTGTCTGACGCCCTCACCGCGCCACCCACCCGGCTTTCTCTCCCGAAGTCTGCTGACCGGATCAGGAGCAGATGGGACCAAGGATGGGGCTAAGGCAGGGCCCAGGAAAGGGAGGGGGAAGAGGTGAGCGGGGCATGACTACTATAGACCGAAACAAAACTCTCCTGCGACCTGCGGCCCCCAGGCATTCCGCCTCTGGGGCCTGGGCCAGGCACCTCGGCCGCCCGTCCGAGCCCCAGGGTCTGCATCCCATTCCTACAGCCTGAAGGGAGAAGGATCCTGTCCTTCCTCAAAGGAGGCGGAGCGAGAGCCAGCCCTGCCCGTGAAGGGGCACACAGTGACGCGGCCTTCGGTGGCGTGTGCTTGGTGGGCGCCCGCTTGGTGGGCGCCCAGGGTCCCCAAGCATCTGTGCAGGTTCCAAAACCTTCACTCTGGGCTCCAGTTCCCTCACTGAGAGAGGAGGGCCGGGCCTTCAATAGCGTGCTCCGCTCAACCCAGGCTCAACCAGGTGCTTCTGGGAAAAGGCTCCTGTGGCCAATTAAATCCGGGGGCAGAGGCTTTGCAAGCCGTCTTGGAGGTCGCCCTCATTTGCATGTCATAGCAAAAGTTCTGACAGGTGTTGCAGAAAGGAAGCCTGTTGAATTGTGCTTAACCTAGCATTTCATCCATCTTTCTGATCCGTGTGAACTGTTTTTATAAAAAATTTATAAAAACAGAAAGGCGATTTAGCATCCCCAGGAGCGAATGTTTACAGTTGCCATCCTGGGGAATATTGGAGAATATATTCCTGAAGGCCAAGAGCTCTGACCTGCTCCAGTGGTGAGTCGTCCCCACTCCCCACGCCCACCCTGTCATGGCTGAATTCTCACACCAGCACCCATTTCTCTCCCACCCACCTGGCCCAACACAAAAGGGACCAAGTGAGAATGAATAATCCACGGGCTTCAGCCCTTTCAAAGCTCCGCGGGGGCTGCAGGAACCTCTCAGAAGCCTCCAGACGCAGAGCCCTGCCCTGGAGTCTGTGGCAGGAAGCTGCTTCCTTCAAGTGGCCCTCACTGGATCGCCCCGCCCACTCCACTTGTCCCGCCTCCAAGGACACTCCCAGCCCCAACCTCTGGTGCAGGCCACCACTGAGCTGGGTCCCTTGCCGACGGGGCTTGGTGGCAGCTCCTTGTTCAAACCCTCTCTGGCCTGTCTCAGGGGACCCCAACCTGTCAGTTCTGCCCCAGGCATCCTCCCAGAAACTCTCGTCTTCTCCCCCCGAGTGGGCCTGCGGAAGGTGACCAGGTGTGGGGTGCAGAAGGGGGCTCATCTCGCTTGGGGAACCCCAAGAAAAGGGAATTAAGATTGGGGCGGGGGCAGGGTAAGCAGGAGTAGAATTTGCTCTTGATTTAAGGGAATTTGCTCTTGAGTTAGGGATGGGTTGGGGCAGGAGTTTTGGCTGATTCTGCGATGTGGGTCGGGGTGCTGATTTGGTTTAGTTAGCAGTAGGTTCAGGTTAAGAAGTAGAGTTATGGGGAGGTAAAGCATAGGGAATACAGTCAACAATACTGTAATAACTATGTATGGTGCCAGGTGGGTACTGGAAATGTGGGGGGGAGACACTTCGTGAAGTGTATGACTGTCAAACTAGTATGCTGTATACCTGACCTCAATACAAACTAATACTGAAAGTAAACTAATTGAAAGAGAAAAATAAGTAGAGTTAGGATTAGCATTGGGTTACAGCCTGATCGCAGATGGGATCCCGTGAGATCAAGACGACAGCATGAGCACTGCGTCCCGGAGGAAGCACCAGGCGCTGGCTCAGAGCTGGGCTGCGCAAGCAGAAGGGAGATGTGACCGCCAGCTGCCCCTCCGTCATCCTGTGTATGTTCTGCAAAATCTAGGGTCTCTCTGCTCGGCCACACGTGCTCAGAAAAGACCAACTTGCCAATGCAATGGCAGCCTGCTCACCCCCGGACCACCCCAGCTGGTGGGGCCTCTGGCTTCTAGATTAAGGAGTTGGGGGACTGCAGGGCCCCTGCTCCTCCAGCGGCGGGGGCGGGGGGGTGGACAACGGAGACTGGCCCCTGGGAGAGAAGGAAGGCTCCTCCCAGACCCAATGGGCGGCCGCTCCAGCGACCGGGACTCAGCTCACTTGGTGTCATCAGAGTCGATCGTGTGGAAGAGATCCTCCAGCTCCGTCTCGTTGAGGACGCCATCTGCAAAGAAGAGCTGGAACTCCTCCAAGGACAGCTTCCCATCATCTGCAAAGAAGGGAGGAAGCAGGGAGAGCGCGGGGTGTCTGAGCCATAGGATATCCCCAAATCCAGACAATTCCCAAACTACGGTAACAGATAAACCTCAGTCAGCTAATCCCTGACCGCAGACTAATCCCCAAATTACCCAGTAAACTCCAGTTCCCAGAGAGTTCGTGACTCATTCAGCAAATTCCCAAACCAACAGACCAACACCTACTCGGAGATAATCCTCAAGCCAACAAACACAAGAAGTAGCTCGTCGGCTGAGGCGCACTCTGCACGAATTCAACAGCGAGCACCTGCTCGCAGCCAGGCGGCGTCCCTCGCCGGCCTGATCCCTTGGGGGAAGCACTATTTACAGGAGCGCACACCTGTAAGGGGCAGGTCCGAAGCCGGGCAGTCTGATGCTCTCTCTTCCAAACACCCAGATAATCTCCCCACACTTAAATGATCTCCAACGCCAACACCCACGTTCTGATTTGGGGAGAGGGACCCTTCTCCCCCGATCGACCCCTCTCCGTTCTGCCCCATCCACTCGGCAAACTTCAGGCCCAAGCCTTTGCACGGTCTGACGTGTGACGTTGCCAACAGTTGGCACACACGTGGCCATAAAAATGCCAGACCACGAGGCAAAGAGGTGCCTGGCCCAGGCTCAGCGCAGGATGGTCCCCCTCGGCCCCGGGGGCTGTGGTTCTGGATGGGGAGGGGTGGGAATCTGTAAGAGGGCACACAGCTGATGCCTGCCACCCACCTCTCCCCCCACAACTGCTGAAGCTCTCAGGGGTTGGGGGCAGAGGGGCCACAGAGGGAGGCCTTACAGCACAGCCCCAGGACCTCCAGGAGAAACAGTCCCGAAGTTTCCACCCTCCGCCCCTCCCACCGGAGCCCACCTGCTGACCAAACTCCTGCAAGTGGGTCCCCACCCCACCCGAGCCATCACCCCTCCTCCAGGATCGGCCCTGCTCCTTCTCAGAGGAGCCCCGTCTGTGGGGGGCAGTGGAGGTCAGGGAGAACGGCAAGCCCGCGATACTGCTCAGCCCTGGCCCCTCGACGCAGGCCCCCTTCCATGACTTCCAGCTGGTCTGCAATCAAAGCCCCAGCAAGCCCACAGGGTGCCTTTGTATGGATTAGAAAGAGGTGCTCTTTCGTGGTTGGGAGTGGGGGAGCTGCAGCCCAGCCTCAGGGCACGTGGGTTGGGAGCGTAGTGCAGGCTGGATCTGAGGCCCTCAAATCCTTCAGGCAGATGCCCTTGTGCAGGGCACAACCTGCCCCACCATACCTGGCAGACCTCCTCGAGCCCAGAGCCAAGTCCTTCTCACATTTGAAAGGCTCTGGAGCTTCTCTCTGCTCCCAGCAGCTCTGCGTGGGCTCAGAGTAGGGCAAAAAGATAGCTCAGGGGAGGGAGACCTTCAGCCTGTTGAGACTTCCCTCGGCCTGTGGCAGAGCACCAGGGGCTGGGAGAGAGGGTCCTAATGTGCACGCAAGCGCGTGGGGCCTGAGGGTGAGGTCCCAGGACACCTTTGCTCTCCTGGCTCTGGCTTCAATGTCACAGGGAGAATGAGTTTGTAACTTTCAAAAACAAGAGTCCCCCACCCCAATATGCCCACATAGAATATCCAGAAACCTACCATGAATAGTGCGTGATACCTACAAAATACGTAAACTCTGAGCTGTGGCTCTTCGTAGCCTGGGCAGGAGGAGGCTTTCCAAGTTCCCTTTGGCAGGACTGGTGATGAAAACCAGGAGCCACAATGTGGAATCAGGGCAGACACATGGGGCTTTTACTGTGTATCCACTCATTTATGTTTCTCCGCTCCCCATGGCATGGTATACCATCACCCCCATTTTACAGAGCCATACACTGAGGCACAGGGCAGTTAAGGGACCTGCCCAGACCCCAGGCTGCAGCTCAAGCCCAGGCCATCTGGCTCCGGGGTCCATGTTCGCAACCCACATGGGGCAGGGCCTTGTGGTGAGACCACCGGTCCAGGGCTCCACGGCAATGCCATGGTCAAGTCCGGGGAAGTGTGCTGTGATTGATTAGTCATGTCTGCCAGGGGCTCCGCCGGGAGTCTGCCTGCCCCCACCCACACCTTCCTGCCTCAGGAAGGCAGGCAGAAGAGGCCGCCGGGCCTCCTGAGCACAAAGGCTTCCTGGCTGACATTTACCTTGGATGTCCCACCACAGCCTGAAAGAACCCAGGTCAGCTAATGAGGGAAGCCACATCTCCTACCCAGCCAGGCCCCTGCCCAATCAGCCAGCAGGCCTGGCACCCCCCATTTGCAGGCGTCTTCCCTAATTAGCATGCGCTCAGCCTCTTGTCACAGTGACCTTTCAAATGCCAGGAGTCTGCATCCCTGGAGAGCAATGCAGTCTCTGTGAAGAAGTCTCGGTTCTGGGAGGAGACGGGCCAGGGGGAGCCCGAGCCCCTGTGGCCCCGAGGGCCTGCCTGTCTCCTTCCAGCCCTGGCCCAGGGCCCAGCTGGGGACCAGGCTCTGGGCTTCCGCCCCCAGGCATCTTGCTCCGTGGGCGCCTGGGGAGGGCCTGCTTCTGCTCGTGTTCAACAAGTGTGTGCACGGGCCTCTGTGGCCTCTGTCCACGGCTCTACCCGCACTCGCCCCCGCGTGCACACTGCTCCCACCGCCTGCCCACAGGGTTTCAAACTGCGCTGAATCCCAACCCTTCTGCCCCTGCCCAGCGGGGGGCTCGCGGATTCCCCGCAGTGGGCCGCAGCTCGGCTCTCCTTCCTCGCGGCAGCCCTCTGGGCCGGGTACTAGTTTCATCACCCCCACTTCCAGATGGGGAAGCCGAGGCCCGAGAGTTTGGTGACTGGCCTGAAGTCACAAAGCTGGGACGCGGCTGAGCCAGGGCTTGAACCCAGGCAGCCCCGGTGACAGAGGGGCCCCGCTTCTCTCCCACAGGTTCTGGATCCCCCCCCCCCCACATTCACCCTGGTGACAACCCCCCACAGCCACTCAGTGGGGGCTGGAAAGACTTGAGGACCCAAGAGGAGGAGTGGGCTGGGCCTCGGCTGCAGGAATGAAACTGAGGGTCCTGCAGCTGTGCTCAGGGGGCGGAACCATTGCCCCTGGCGGGGAACAAGGAATGAAGACAAAAGCCCATCAGTGCCTGAATGGAGACCAGGATGCCCCCCACCCTGACCACGCGCATACAACCCCACATCCACTTGGGCGCACGCGCTCCGGGCAGCATGTGTGACCACAGCCAGACACGCCGCTGCAGCCCAGGACCGCCCAGCCACACCTGCATCCAGGAATAAATCCGTCACCTGATCTACAGGCACTTACCCAGTGCCCACCGCGTGCTGGGTGTCAGGCCCGCGGCAGGGACAAGCCCCTTAACCCCCTTCTCTAAGCTTGATGCCACCCTCATTTCGTGAGTCCCACTGAAGTCCCCCCACCCCTTTCCTTTCTCCTTGCTCCATAGGGAATTGCTCCGATGGTCCCTTGTCCCAAGAGAGGGAAGGCAAGAGGTGGAGACCCCTGGGCACTGACTTCCAGCCCAGGCCTGTGCCTCTCCTCCCGTCCCCCAGGCCTCATGTTCCCCAACACCTGAGGGGCAGATCAGCAGTAACTCAAGGAGGAGAGGTGCAGGGCCGGGACCCAGGCTGGAACTGCGACCTTGAACTCCAGCCCACGCAGGAGAGGGGCCAGGACCTGACGCTTTGGGGCCCCAAGGGCAGGCACCACCTCTACCCACTTCCCCCCAGCGCAAACCTCGACACTCAATCAGCATTTTTCTCAATAAATAAGCAAATAAACACTGAGCCCTGCTTAATTCTCCCTAAAACTGTCTATATCCCCACATCTCCTCCCTATATTTTCCCAACAGCCTAGGGAAGTAGACAGGTTAAGTGTTATCACCCTACTTTACAGATGGGGAAACTGAGGCCTAGAGAGGGAATGTGCCTTGGTTAGAGCTGCGCAGGGTCACTTTGGGCCTGAGAATAATGACCACAGTATTTATAGGAAGTTGCACGGCTCTTTGTCACACGTGCGAGGCTCAGGTGGGCCTTGGTGAACTTGGTTATCCTTGCGCAGGGTGGAGCCCTTCCAAGTGGCCAGAGGTGGAGTGTTGTGCATTCTCCAGCCAAACGCGCCGCTCGTATTGTTGGGGAGGCCGTGCGATGTGGGGAAAAGGGCCAGAGTCTGCGACAGACCCGCGGCGGCCTTCATGCAGCTGGGCTGCCCTGCGCAAGTCACTTAGCCTCTTGGCCACTACGGGGCAGACAGAACAGAGGACGCAACACTGGAAGCCACAGAGGAAGCGTGCCGGGGCCTGGGAGGGGCCTCGACTGGGGCTGGGGCGTCCTTAAGCGGGGGTTTCTAGGCCTCTGTTGGGCCACCCTGGTCCAGCCCAGCTGCATAAGGGCTGAAGCACCCCAAGCATTTACCATCGGCATCTGGGTGTCACGGGCATCAACTCACAGAATCCTCATGGCATACTCGCCAGGTAGGAACTATGGAAGTCCCAGTGTACAGAGGGGAAACTGAGGCACAGAGCAGAACCAGGATTTGGCCTTCAGACTTCGGAGACCTGCACTCTTCACCTTTAGGTTCAAGGCTGTCCAGTGCCTACCCCTGATCCTTTCCCCTGAAGAAGAGCCAGGCTCTCGTTCAGGGGCCAGCCTGGGAGGGAAACTCACCATTTTTGTCCGCACGGCGGAAAATCTGCAGAGAAGAGAGGTTGGTTGAGTCAGCCCTGGGCCGGGGGAGCAGGCGCCCTCCAGTGGCTCCTCACCTGACACAGATACCCCACTCCTCCCCAGGTGGCTTGGGAAGCAGAGCACCCCCCTCCGCCCCCCAGGCTGGGATCCTGGGCGAGGGTGGGGCGCCGCAGGCAGAGGCCCTCCCAGCCACCCTAGCGGAAGCAGCCGCCCACCTTCCCTTCTGTGCCGCCAGCCTGCCCACAGCCACGCTGACAGACACACGCACACGCATGTGGACACTCTGGCTCACACCATCCGCATGCCAGGGGTGCACTCCCAGAGCCGTCGGTCCACGCGGCTTCAACCACTGTCGCACGCTCGGTCGCACACTCAGGATTTGTGTCCCAGGGACGCAGCCACAGGCTTTACGTCCTCACACCCCTCCCAGAAACCCTTGGGGCTCCAGTATTCCCCAGGGAGGTTGGGTTAAATCTGAACAGGGGTGTCTGCTAAGGGAATCTTGAGGCTTGGCGACTGGACCCACTGCGGCAGGATGGGATTTTTCTGGGTGGCGGAGTGAGCACAAGCGGGCTGCCGGGAGCCCAGAAAACCAGTTATTGCATCAGGTGGGAATCGGGAGGGACAGCCTACGCCCCCACCCCCAACCACAGCCTGAGCTTGGGGACCAGACAACTCCTCCTCCTGGTATTTGGGGACCAGGTGAGCCATGATGGAGGGAGGAGGAGGAGGCACCAGCCCCTCTGGCCACCCCGCCTTCGCCTTCAGTCCTTCCCTGGGATGAAGGACAGCTGCGCCCCGCCCCTCCAAGCAGCGGGGCAGGCATCCATTTACCAGGCACCTGGGCTGTGACAGACTGACGCGGCCGCTCAGGAGGGCTTCTCAGACATCACCCCCCTTCCTTAGCCGACCCGATTCCAGAGTACTGGGCAGAAGCCTCCACGGCTGGGGCAGAAAGGGGAGCAGTTATCAGAGCACCCCAGCCTCCTCAAAGCCTCAGCCTGGGAACCCCACACCTCTTCTCCTGACGACAAGGTTCCTCGGGGCTGGGGTCCCACCCTCAGGTGCCGGCTCTGGAGCCTGGGGGTTAAGTGAATGACGCGGCCACATGATGCGGCTCCAGGAGGCTGCGTGAGCACTGAGCCCCCACCTCCGCTCATCAACCCACTTCACAGATGAGGAAATGGAGGCTCAGAGCCCTTCTGCGGCACTCGGGGCCCCAGAGCCCAGCTCCTGCACTGTTAGAGGAGGGGGCCGGGAGTGGTCTGGACAGGGCTTCCCTGCGTGGCGGGCCGGGCTTTCAGCTGTGAACTCTGCTGGGGTCTTGCGGGGGAGGGTCCAGTGTGTCCGGCAGTGCAAAAGTGAGTGTATGCGGGGTGGGGGGACACTAGGACCGCAAGCACTCCCAGCAAAGCTCTACCTTCCCTGCCCTGCCCAGCCCGCTGTGCCCCGAGCCAGCTGTGGGCTCCAGGAAAGAAGAGCAAAAATTCACGCTCCCACACACTCACAGGGATGTGCAGTGCACACAAACACACATACTCCCCCCCAGACACCCACCATGCACACGCGAAACACTCCCACCCCTGGGGCCACCTGCCAGGCAGGACCCTCGCTGGGGCATGCACATCCCATCGCCACGCAGCCTGTCACTGGGGGTGTGGGGTGGGCAGGATGAAGCCCCTCCGCCGGGCAAGTGCCCCATCCCCTGCCACCCACTCTGCAGAATCTCCTTCCCACTGGGGAGTGGGAGGTGAGGCTGGGCTTTCCAGAGGTGGGCAGTCTGGGTTCTGAGGGGAGGGGGTGAGTCGAGATGGAGGGTGGGGTGGGGGAGGGAATGGAGGGCAGAGGAGACTCAGAGGGGGTGGGGGTGGTGATGGGGGGAGCCTCCCGGGGTCCAGACTCAGGGCCCACGGGGGTGGTTCCAGCTCTATGGAAAGGAGAGGCAAAGACAGAGGTGAGGAGGGGGCTTCGCTCTCAGAGAGAGGGTGGCAGGGTGAAAGGGTCTTTGAGTGGGGATGAGAAAACAAGGGCTCCGGAAGAGAATGGTGGTCTTAGGAAAGTAGCAACTCAAGAGGGAACCCAGGATGGAAAGGAGGAGGGGGCTCGGGGCGGTCAGGAGCTCCAGTCCTGGGAAGGAGTGTCAGTGATGGTTGATGTGCAGAACTGGGAAAAGACGGTAATTTGGCCAGGACAAAAGTAGGGGGGCGGTGGCCGGGCCGAGGGGGCTCCAGGATCCCGGCTCCGAGAGATGGGAATCCCGAGAAGCGAGAGAGGGGACGGGAGGAGGGGGTTCGTCCCGGTCCAGAGACGAGACTGGTCTTGGATCGGAACCGATCGGAAGGTGGAGAGGCTGGGGGCTTGCGCTCTGGGATGCGGAGGGGCCGGGTGCAGGTCCTGCTCCGAGCTGCCGAGGGGGATGGGCCGGGGTCCCCTGCTCAGGGAGGAGGGGGCATCGCGGATCCCGTCGGGGACGAAGGAGGGCGGCGTTGTGGGGTCTCCCCATGGGAGGAGGGGGCTTGGGTCCCTTCCCGCGCATACTCACGTCCAGGATGACAGCGGTGCCCCCGCGCGACGAGGCGGGGCCCGGGCAGGAACCGGGGTCCACGGCGGGGGCGGCGGGGGCGGCGGGGGCTTCGGGGACCAGCGGCACCCGGGGCTCGCCCATCCTGGCGCCCACCCAGCGCAGCAGCCCGCCCAGCGCCCGGCCCTGCGGCGGCGGCTCCCGCAGCAGCCTGTGCGCGCCGGCCCTGCACAGGCGCGCCGCCCGCTCGCACATCGCGCCGCGCCCGCCGCGCCCGCCGCCGCCCGGAAGCCCGCCGACCCCCGCCCGCCAGCCCGCGGCCCGCCCCCGCGCGACCCCCTCCCCGGCGCCGCAGCCGGCGCCGCCCCGCCCTCCCTCCTTCTGCCCCCGCGGCCGCGGCCACCGCGGGGACTGGCCGGCGCCGGGGGACCAGGCGGGGAGGGGTGTGCGCTCCTCCCGGACCCCGAGCCACGTGCCTGGACTCCACCGCCCCCCTTCCCTTGCGACCGCGCGCGGCAGCTGAGGGCTGCCCGCGGGGGCGCTGATCTGGGGGCTGAACCCCGACCCGGCCTGGAGGGGCTGCACAGTAGGCGCTGGGTTGGTGGGGGTCTGGCTGCACCGGTAGGGGGGAGGGAATCGTCCCTGGGGCTTCCCCCTTCCCCCGAAAGGCTCCCACTGACACCCCCCGCCCCCGTCCACCGCCACCGCCCCCCCCCCCGCCCCCCATCCCGCGGCCCTTCGGAGGCGCCGCAGGGGCCGGAGCGCGGTGTCCGGCGAGTACGGAGCGCCCTCTGCTGAGTACGGAGTGCCCCAGCTCCTGGGACTGGTGCCCACTCGCGGGGCTTCCACTGCCACTCCTCTGGGTATCCCTCCTGCGGGCATGAGGCCCCCTGAGACCTCCGCTCCCGGAACTAGTCTTCACCCCAAAACATCCTCTTTCCCTCACTCTCAAAAGGATGCGATAAGGAGCAAAGCTAGCTGCGAGGCCCTGGGGCACAATAATGAGCAAAAGGGATGGCAGTACTTGGGCTCCTGGAGCTTACATCCCAGTGGGCAGAGCCAGAAACTGGACAGATTCCACAAATAAATGAACCGGTAAAACGGAACTGCAATGAAGAGGTGGCACCTTGGGTCATGAGCAGGGAATCGAATCTAACCTGGTGCTGGCGGAGGGGTTTGTATTAGAAGATGCTTCCTAGAGCAAGTGATTCTTATACTGAAAGAGTAGAAAGAAGAGGAAGGGTTAAAGAAAGAAGGGGAAAGTGGGCTTGAGGTTGCCTGTGCAAAGGCCCTGGGGCAGGTGAAGGAAGCAAGGTGAGCAGGAGTGTTTAAACAATGAGCTGCACGGGAGGGTGGGAGGGGCCTCCGGAAGCCTCCCCAGCACCCCCTTCCTCACACATGCTCCCCTTACTTCTTTAACACACTGCCTTCTCATCGGTCACACATGAGGCACCAGCCCTTGTCTCCCTGGCCCTCCTGCCCTGTGGCCCTATGCTGCTCCATCCCCCTCTACCCCCAGCTCCTAGAGCAGGCCCCTGGGCACGCAGCTGTTCCCCAAGCACAGAATTCTCAGACACAGGCGTACAGGCAGGTGCTGGTTTTATTTGGAACCTGATTCTGGAAGGAGCGGGCCTGGAGTCCCAGCTCAGTGCTCGGCTGGCCCTGGTGGTCCCCGCTCACACTGGCACCTTTCACCCCAAAGCGCAGGTCTGGGCCTATGCCGCCCTGCAGTCACTACTCCCACCCCGGGGTGCTGTTCTGTGTTCAGGCAGCCTGGGTTCCCCACTGCTCTTCGTCAGAGAAAACTGTTGCGCAAGCCAGGAGAGGCCCCCTTCCCCCACTGGGGCACCTTGTGTCCAGCAGGGCTATGGTGACCTCCCCTCCTCTTTAGGGCCTAGGTGTGAGGGTGCCAGGCGGGGCGCTAGGGTGGCTTCCTGGCCTCCTTTCTCAGCAGGGAGCTGGCCACGGCCAGGGCTCCCCCCTGCACGAACCGCACAAAGTTGTCCCCTGCCAGCGGCCCCACAGCATACAGGCCCTCCTGCTGTGTGCTCTGGTACGTGAAGGGGTCCACGTCAATGGGGTTCCTCTTGGCGCTCAGCGGCTGGTCAGGGTCCATGGCGAGGTCGGCGCCAGCCCCAGGGAGGAAGGAGAGGTCGGGGTGGGAGCCAATGAGGACCAGCACCAGGGAGATGCCGAAGACCTTCTGCAGGCCGTTGGGGTCCTGGAACACGGCCTGGCGGTCCTCCTTGAAGAGGAGCAGCCGGTGCTCGGGGAGGCTGCAGTAGCCCTTGTAGGGGCTGGGTGATAGGATAGACTGCTCCCGCATCATCTGGTGCACCTTATGGTACTCGGGGTACAGCATCTTGGGCAGCTGGTTGAAGACCAGGCCGGGGTCGTCCACAGGCCGGCGGAAGGCATGGATCACGGGGATGTTGTAGTGGTGGGCGTAGAGGACTGCGTCAGCCGCTGACAGCCCTGCGCCGATGATGAGGATGGGGTCCGAGGCCGGAGTCACTGTGCCCGCCCTTACGGCCACCTCCAGGGCCGACAGTTCATAGTGGACGAAGGGCAGGGTCTCCCCGGGGATGCCCAGTCGGGCCGGGCTGTCCGACGTGCCTGTGGCCAGGACCACGTTGCGGGCACAGAGGGAGAAGGGCTGCTGGCTCTGGTCCTTGGCAGTCAGGAAGCCGCTCACCTGGAAGAGGGGGCTGGGGTCTTGGGTCCCCGCGCCACTGGGCTCGGGTATCCCCCATTCTACAGCTGTGACCACAGCGCCAGACACAAAGTTGTGGCCCAGGCCCTTCTTGTTCACATAGTCCATGTAATAGTGAGCGATGTCGCCGGCCGTGGCTCGGCTGTTACGAAGGCCTCTGTGGGGGAAGAACACGGAAGGGTGAGCGACCGCGTGGAGCGGGGTGGGGGCCCAATCGCGTGGGACGGGGAATGACCGGGCCGGCCTCAGGCCCCGGAGCCGCCTATGGCTATGCCACCCACCAGCCTTAACACTCGGCCAGGTGGGCTGACCTCTCCGGCGCCCCAGGCTCGTCCTCTGTAAAATGGAGCCGAGAAGAGTGACTTACTAGGGCACGCTTGAGAGTGCGGCCCCGGAGACACACGGCCTGGGTCCCCACCCTGCCCCTGTCACCATGAGCTGTCTCCTGAAACTCTCTGCTTCAGTTTCCCCATTGCAAAGTGAGGGTGACAACGGTGATATAAATGAAGAGCTTAGAAGAGAACCCAACATGCAGTAAGTGACATAAAAGGGTCGGCCGCCGTTAATATTACCTCTGAGAACAAAATAATATCAAACAGAAACATGGTAGGATTCCATTTTTATAAATTCTGAAACAGGCAAAACTAATCTATGGAGTTAGAGGTCAAGACAGTAGTTGCCTCTGGGAAGGAGAAGGGGGTAGGGGCTGGGAGGGGCCTGGGGGTTCTGGGGAGAGGGGATCTGTTCCTTGAGCCTGGGCGGCGGACCCAGGTGTGTCCTGTACACATTGAGAAATTTCATCCACCTGTACACATACGCGTTGTGGACTTTTCCATACATAGGATATATTTCAGTAAACAAGTTCATTTAAAAAAAAATAGCCCTTGTAAAGCACTTATCCTTGTCCCCAGCACTCAGTACCAGCGGGGACTCTTTATTGTCATCATTACTATCCCCACTGCCTCCGGGGCCACGGTTGCAGCCGGCGTGGCTGGCGGCGCAGGTGCAGGCTGTGCTCCCCTCCCCCCCATGACTCCCCCTGCTGTGGACATACTGTTAGGGACAAACTCACTTGACGGGCACCCTCAGTGACACACTAACATACCCCCAAGGCCACCCCTGCCAACCCAGCCTGTTAGTCTGCCACCGAAACTGGAACTCTGGAATTCATTCCAGGGTTTCTCGTTCTCCCTTTTCTTTTTTTAAAGACCTGTCCTAAGACGTCACCCTGGTGTTACTTATAGAAGAGGCACATTGGAAAGAACGAAGGCTCCGTGACCGGGCAGGGGTTTAGGAACGGCGGCAGCGCCTGGAGGGCAGGGAGGGTACCTGTCTGGCTTTTGGCTCCGACACCTGAGCACAGGGCCCTGGATGCGGGAAGTAGGCAATGGAGTTGCTTGCCCTCCCCAGGGAATATTACGTGGCCATCTAAAAGGGTGGCTGCAAATACTGTGACCACCACGTGAAATGCTATGACGTAATGTGGAATTTTAGAAGCTGGATATAAAAGGGTTATGTCTACAAGTGAAATTTAAGTTCCTGCCTGTTAACACATCACTATGTGTTGGATGTTTTCCTACTAAATCTGCCGGGACAAAATGTCAGCGGCAGACAGCAAACCCTGGAGAGGCTGAGTGCCTGCCGGGTGGGAGTGGCGCATCCCCTGTCTCAGCCCCTGAAGCTGGAGGAATTGGGGCGGACAGCCAGGCCAGGGTTGACCCTCTGCCTGGACCCCTGGGCTGCCCTACGCCTCGTGCCCCAGGGTGAGCAGAGGCCGGGGCACAGTTACTCCGGGATGTAACTCTTTCTCCAGGGAGGTCAGTGGTGTGCAGGGCGGTCGTTAAGGAGCAGGAAACACGATGGGAAGAAAATACGCCAAGACGCAACAGGCAAGAGTGTGGGGTTGTGGTGAGTTGTCTTTCTCAATTTTTAACTTTCTATTGTGTGGTGGTGTTTCTAATGCAAGAGCATGAAAAATAAATAAATAAAGGAAATGGATCCTTTTAGCTGACCTAGAAGGAAAGAGGTCGTTCTCGGTCAGGGCCAGGAGTGGGGGAAGGGTAGCAGGGAGGCCAGAGGGCTGGTGAGCAAGGGGCGGGGTGTGGGGCAGGAGGGGGGACTGTCACCCCCTCCTTGGAGACTAGGACGCTGTGGGAAGGCCAAGGCGGCGGGTCACGTGGGAGGAGGCGGGAGCACTGGACAAGAGGCCTGGGTGAGCCCAGCTCTGCTGATCACTTCTGGTGTGGGCCGGCACAAGCCCCTTCCCCATCGGAGCCTCAGTTTCCCCTTGGAGTAAGAGAACGGCAGACTAGAGGAGCCATGAAGCCCCCTCAGCTCTGGCTCCCGGGCTCAACGTGGGGGGCGGGCCGGGGTCCTCCCGGCCCACCCTGGGCTTTCCAGGGCTGCCTCACCTTCGCTTCCTGAGCATCCAGTCCTTGACCTGCAGGTCTGGGAGTCCCATCCACTGGCCTTGGCTCAGGGTCACCATGGAGCCCTCGATGGACTGTGTGGAAAAGGGATCCTTTGGTCCAGGCCTCTGCCAGTCCCCAACCCACTGGGCTGGAAGGTGCAGGCAGCCTGAGCTCATGTGGAGAAATGGGGTGGAGGGAGCAGAGGGAAAGGCGGGGGACGGGTCAGTCCTCACCCTGAGTTAGGGAGGGAGTCTCCCCCAGGATTTTATGTAGATTTGGCCCAAATCCCTATGCACCCCTCCTGGTCCCACTTACGTGCCAGGCTCCCCCAGGTGGGTTCCGACCCAGGACCACGTGGGGGATGGCTCGCTCCTTCTGGAGCTTCCAGGTGAGGACAGACTCCATGTCTCCGCCAAAGTCTGTGTCCGGGCGCAGGAGGGCATCAAAGAGCAGGGCCACGGGGCTTTGGCTCCGGCCTTCGAGGCCTTCAGACAGGTAATTCAGGTCCTGGAGGGGATGACGCGGGTCAGAGGGGCCACCAGAGGAAGGCTGCCCAGTCCCGCACTCCCACCCTAGTGTCAGGCTGGTCAGAGAGGTGGGGAGATGCTGCCTCTCAGAAGGAGGCAGCGCACAACGGCACTTCAAAGGCTCCGACGGTCCTGCGGCTGCCGTTCACTTGTTTAATTTTGCTAAACCCAGTGTTTCTCAGGTGTACCATGGTAGGGGCGTTTTCTCTGCATGTTAACTGAGGAACTAGTGTTGTATAGAAAGCATTTTAAAAACTGCTGGCCCAGGCCAAATGCTGACTTACTTCCTCATCCACCAACTCGAGGGAGGGGGTGGTTGGTGATCTGGATGGGGAGATGGCCAGCGAATGGCCTCTACGAAGGCAAAGGGCAAGTGGGCGGAGGGACTCTGGGAGCCCTGCTGGGCAGGAGGCAGTAGAGCTGGAATCCAGGGCAGGGGCTCAGCCCGGGCACTCTGGATGTCTGGGCTGGATCCTTCTCTGTGGCTGGCACCGCCTAGTGCATTGCAGGACGTTTAACAGCCCCCCTGGCCTCCACCCTCTACGCCAGTAGTAGCCTCTCGAGCTGTGACAACTGACATTGTCTACAGGTACTGCCAAGTGTCCCCCAGAGAGCAAAATTGTCCTCTATTTAGAACCACTGGTCTGGGGAGATCAGACAAGCTAATGTGGCATTTGTAGGTCTCAAAAGATTGTCCTGGTTTCTCTTTCAGTTTCCATGGCTGACATTGTGACCTCTCCTATTCCATGTTTAATCTTGTGTCTGACAAAGGCACACTTTGGATTTTGCCCTGGGAGAGCTGGGAGTCTGCCCAGAGGGGCGTGCCCCCGCCTTCCGGAGCTCCGGCCCACCTGGTCCAGGATGGAGACCCCCGGTGCCTCGAGGAGCTTCTTCTGCAGCAGGGGATGTGGGTGGATGGCATCCGGCTTCACGTAGGGGGTGTAGCCAGAGAGCAGGTAGGACAAGCAGATGCCTGAAGGACCATTGCCTGGGGGGAGAGGGCGGGGTCAGAGGGCAGCGCTTTGAGGTGCAGGAGATCACCACTGCCTAGGGCTTTGGTCTTGACCTGATTTGTTCATTGAATTACTCTTCATTCATAAAAATAAAACATTTATTAAGCCCTTAGCATGTGCCAGGCACCGCGTATACAAGCAATCACTAAAAAAGTAATGAACAATTGCTGAGAGCTTCTGAGGTGCCAGGAGTGGTATTACTTAAACAACAATGATGTTGTGGTGATAACCACTGACATTTATTGAGTGCTTACTGTGTGCCAAGCTTTGTGCCAAGGGATTTCAATAATAAATTAATAACAAACTGCCATACCAGGCCCCTGCGTGCCGGCATTATGCCACTGGGCTCCGGCAATGGCCTCCGCGTGCATGGCGATTCTTTTCCTCCTTCTACACGGGAGGAATCTGGGGCACGGAGATGTTAACTAACTTGCCTGTGGTGACACAGCGGCTCGGAGAAGCTGATATGAGATTCTAGCTTGTCCTTCCAGAGCTGACATCCCGGCTGGTCAGACGGAGGCGTGGAATGTTGTAGCACAGATTGCTCCGTGCTCTGTGGGGGGAGCCTCGGGGGCCTTGGGGTTTAAGGAGGGGGCGCTAAACTGCCCGTGGGCATCCTGCCCCCAAGTCTGAATGAATCACACAACTTATCTGTGTCATTTCTTGGGCCATTAACCTCATGACATTGCTTCTACTTTCACAATCCCCATCTTTTTTTGCCTTGTGCTATATAGCATATTACCCATTATGTACAGCACTATAAAAGAATGACCACTTAAAATTGCTGACGTTCAACTGTTTCGGCTTACAAAAATGAACCACATTTCATGTGGTTCAACCTGATGCTGGCATGGAGGAGGGGCCACCTGTCCCCCATCTTTGCAGCCCTGAGGACAGGACCACACGCGTCAGCTGCGTGCCCCCTCCTTCAGGCACCCAGCAGGGTGCCAGGCTCAGGGAGAGCACAAGCCGCGCCGACTTGGGACCACACAGGCCGAGGACCAGGCCTCCCCCGTCGCTGCCCTTGCCTTGCAGGTTCTTAGAAGGATCATATAAAATGATATTGTATTCACTGTAAGCATAGCACTGGGTACACAGTGAACACTCTCAGTGGCCAATTTAAAAGACAACAATTGTAAAGAAAAAAAAAAAGGCCAGGCCGGGCCTCGCCTGGCTCCGGCGCTCGGCCGCTGGGTCACCCTGGAGAGTGCGCGCCCTCCCGGCCAGCCGCACTCACCGATAACGATGGCCTCCAGGGGCTCCGAGCTGCGGGCGCCCAGGTGGTCCTTCCTCCAGCTGCTCATGGCTGTGGCTGGTGGGGGGCTTGGTGCTGGCAGCTGACCTGGAGGCACAGGGGAGGAAGGGTCATTGGATGAGCCTTGGGTGTCATGTGGTCCCTTACCTCAAATATGATGTCCTTTGGTGGCCCTTGGGGTCAAGTCCAAGGACCTCCCTGAGGCATGTAAGGACGCCTGACTACCCTCCCTTCTTGCTTTCTCACACCTGCTCCATTCCAGTCAGGCCCTCCCCCCACCCCCAATTATGCAGGGTCCCCAGCCTGGTCACCTCGGTCATTATGAGCCTGGATCATCCTCCCCGTCTCACCAGTGGGGCAGTAGCAATGTCTGAAGCCGATTAGGCATCGTCCACGGGGCCGCCTCTGCCCAACCCAGAGGGCAAGCCCTGTCAGCACTTCTGTGCCGGCCATTGCCCCTGGCCCTCAGGTCTCGGATGCAGCCTGGTGGACTTTGGAGCCATCACCTGGCCCTGGTGAGTGGCTTCCTAGCTGGTGACCCTGGGCCTGTTCCAGGATATCCCTGGGTCCCTGTTTCCCTATCTGTAAATAAGAATAACGTCCCTAACCTCACAGGGCTGTTGGGGTCACAGTGAGGTCATATATGTGAAGCACCTTCCTGGAGCCACAGGGAAAGATCTGAGCTCATCGCCTGCCCTAGGGGCTGGGCGGGAACACAGGGACTTGGGGGGACTTCGGACACCTGGAATAATTTGATTCGTGGAAAATGCCTGTAAACCTGCTCATTTTTGGGGCATTTGTGCCCCCTGCTGGCCACAGGCTAAAATCACTCAAAGTGACTCAAACCTAGTTCTTAGGGCGTAGGTGCTGGAGAGTCCAGACCCGCGTTCTCCACATGCCCCCAGCCCGCTAACAGGGCCTCGCCTTACCCATGTCCAGCAGCCCTGCCGTCCTGAGGGCCACAAGGCAACGTCCACGTGAGTGTGTGAGGAATGTGTGGGTGTTCAGCAGTCTCTATCTACTGCGTATTTAACATGCTTTTCTCAAGTCCTCCTCACACTGACTGCACGCCGCAGAAAGTACTATCAGCGCTACTATCCCATTGAGCAGATGTGTCACCAAGGGCTCAGAGAGGCTACACAAGCTTCTCCGTGCCATGCAGCAGGCTTTTAAACCCCGGGCTAACTGGCGTGAAGGCTTTGCCTGTGGCCATGCCACGCGGCAGGGCTCCTCGCCTCAGCTGCCGGGACAGCCTCCCTCTCCTGGGGGGTGAGCCTTGTGTCCTCTGGCATCTCCCTGAGGAGACAAAAGGTGGCATCCAGCTGACATCGAGGTGCATGATCTCTATGCCCGGTTCCCTGCAGGGCCCTGTACTGTGTGCTGGCAGAGAGGGTTTTGGCGTTTACCGCTGTCACACATAACAACAAGCTAGCATTTCTGTACTCCTATGGAGTTGGCTAGGTGCCAAGTATGTTCTACACTCTGTGCACGTTAATTAATTTAATCTTTATTTAACTGGGTTGTTATAAGTAGTCTTATAATCACTGCCCTATTACAGATGGGGAAACTGAGGCCCAGCCCACTTCTTACAGCCCCGTGCGGTGTGCAAGCAGTCTTGCCCTGGCTTGCACAGCCCACGCTGGATTGAGCCCAGGCCACCTTCTTCCAGACTGCAGTACGGCAGGCTGTGACAGCTCCAGCCAAAGGCCCTCCCCAGCCGGGGCCGAGTGCAGCATATGCATCTGTCCCCATTCAGCCTACAGCTCTGTCCCAGCGCTGGTGGCGGGAGGGTGGCCAGGGGGCCGATGATCCCAGCCGGGATGGGACCGTTTCTCAGTAACCACTGGCAGCCCTGAAGAATAGGACTGTAGTTCCCAGAACGCTTCTTCTCGCTTCCTCCTGGTACCTTCAAACAGCCCCTGGGGCACACACTCCTTGTCCTCACTGTCCCCGGGAGTAACAGCAAAGGGGACACATGTGATGTCCTTGCTAAATGCCCCCTCAGCATTAGCTCCTTTAATCGTCACAGTAACCCACTTAACAGATGAGAAAACTGCGGCTGAGGAGGTGAGGCCACGACCCTGAGGTCCTCGAGCCAGCGGGACCCCCGTGGGCTGAGACCACCGAGACACCCCAAGGCCCTCCAGCTGAGCCTGCCAACCTGCTCTGAGCTGGCCTGGCACGCCCACCACGGGCTGCCCCTTCACCTCCTTTGTCCCTTTGACTCCTCCCATCCCCCCCCCCCCCCGTGAGGAAGGGAGGTGCAGGGATCCTCACTGACAGGCAAGGGACGAGAACGGACGGCCCCTCGTCATGCTACATGGGTACAGGGGCCCCGTTTACCACCAGGGCTTTTGGACTCCAGGTCCCGTGCTTACTCCCAGAAGCTTCTGGATGTCCCGCACAGGAGGTCACCACCCAGGGCCCACTGGAGAGGTCATTTCCTGTCCAGCGATACAGCCGTCCCAAAGTCCTGAGGAGCTTAGAGCTCTCAAAACCTCAGAGGAAGGTTTACTGCCAAATTGCAACAGACAATTTGAAAGTTTTTCTCTTTCCATTTCTTTTACGCTCCTTAGTTTTTTGGTGCCAAAGCAGTCCATTTTCAATGTTAACTTTTTGTTTAAGTCCCTCCGGTTGAAGATGGAAAATGTCATCTAAAGAAAGTTAACATTAAAAACTGATTCAAATTCACAAAAGCAGATAAGCATAAAAAGAATGGAAATGATCGCACTTCCAGATGCTGTTCCTTCTACATGTGCAGCACTGGTACTTCTGAGGCCATTAAGCTTTGAACTGCTCTCAGTCTCTGGACGCCTGCGTGGCTGCAGGTGTTCAGCACCTCTGGTGGTCCTTTGCTCATGGGTTTTCCTAACCAGGGGGAGGGCCAGAGGTCAGGAAGAAGGAGGCGGTGGGTAGGTTGCCCAAGAATATCTGAGACCAAGCCCACAGGCAAAACTCCTGCCCCTTGATACCTGTCAGTGCTGCCAGGAAAGCGATGTGAGGCTGTGGCACAGGAGGGATGAGGAGGCGCTCTATCAACCGAGCCTCCCCGACTGGGAGCCCTGGGTGCTCTGAGGTTTCCCAGACTCCCTGATCTTGGCACCCTGGCCTTCTGTGAGAAGCCAAGTCCATGGGACTCATGGCGGGGGCCGTGCTTGGGCACAGGGTTGGAGCGGAGGCGGGGGCTCTGCCCCACTTCAACAGGATAGGTGGGGACCCCAAGGGAAGCACTCAGCCTGGCTTTGGAACCCAGTGGCCTTGAGACACTGGGCAGCGTGCCCGGAGTTGGCCACGCCTCTCTCTTTCCTGCCAAGAGCAGCATCACATGGCCAGGGTGTGTTCCGATTGTGGGCAGCAGGGCAGCTGTCCGCCTGAAGTTGCCAGGCACCTGGAGATAGGCATGGCCAGGAGGAGGAACCTGGCGGGGGGCGGGGGGCGGCGGGGAGAATCATGCCAGCCCGGGAAGCCAGGGCGGGCCTCCTCCCAGGACCACCTTCCCTTGCCTGGCTCCAGGACCCTGCTGGCCACCCAGGCTCAGGACATGCCACCGTGTCCCATTCCCAACCTCCGTGCCTTGCTGAGGCCACTCACCTGATGAGCAGGGATGAAGAAGAGCTGGGGGCTGGCTTGGTCAGACACTGTGAGGGCTGAGAGGTCAGGGCGTCCGCCGAGGGTGTATGACCATTACCCCTTGGGGATCTAAGAGGCTGTGAAAGGCCCGGGCTAGCGAGGGTATTTGAAGGGTTGGAAAGAGGCGGGCGGTGGGCGGGGCCAGGAAAATCACTTTCATAAGCGTGAGTCAGCAGGGGCCCCTGGATGAATGAACTTGGCAGTCACCCTGCCTGCCCCAGGGCCAGCCTTAAAGGGGTCCCCCCACGGGGCGGTCTGCGTGGCGGAGGGACTGGGGGGGGACCAGGCTGGCCCTCCCCTTGGGGCTCCGTCAGGGAATGGAGGAACCAGGGCCCCCTGAATGAGCCAACCTGGCCTTTTCCCTTAGGGAGGAGGAGACAGACCTGCCCGACATAGAGCGGCACCTTTAAGTGGAGAGGTGTGTTCCTTCATCCTAGCCGGCTCCACTGGGGTCTGCACTCTGCTCCCCCTCCCACAAAACGCCTCTGGCACCCAGCTCTGAGAACCCAGCTCTGCCGCTTCCTGGGCTAGCTGCCTCAGTTTCCTCATCTGAAAAATGGGGTCAAGTAACAGACTCCTCTGCTTGGGGTGGGAGCGGCATTGGAATGACCTCACCCTTCGTTACCTGGCCTGAGACAGGAAGCCCGCTCCCTGGTTCTATCTTTTTTCTTCGTTGTTTCTTTTCCTTAGCATGTAGCAGTATACACTTTATATTTTGCTGACTCTCGCTTCTTTTATTGTCTCTCTCTCCTCAAACCAGGATGTGGCTTCTGTGTGGGTAGGGAAGTGTAACTTTGCCTGTTTTTATCCTGAATCTTGAATACTGCTCAGCACATAGTAGGCACTTGAGAAGGAAGGACAGGGGTGGGGGGAGGGAGTTGGGACAATGTGTGGCCCATAGACCTCAGCGTGCATATTAGCCGTTATTGCCATTGTCCATGTGATTGTCCCCGTGTGTCGTCCTCTTGTCTGGGGACTCAGCTGGCCAGTGCTGCCCAGGGGATGGGGGCCCACGGGTGGCAAGCGAAGCACTCACTTTGCATGCACAACTTAAGGGGGGGCCAAAAACACTGAGAGACCAAGAAAATATCTTAAGGCAATTTTTAAAAAAAATCAAGATTAATACAGTCAAATCAAGGATAAACAAAATACTAAAATTTCACATAAAGACAGGGCCTGTAACAGGGCTGTGTGGAGCTACACTGAAGCCTGATGTAAAAAATCAGAATACCGACACTGTCTTTGTTTAAAACTTTGCTATTTTATTCACCCTGGACTGGGCATTACTTTTGATTTTTAGAAATATTGCATGAACACACTATGTGCCTTGATTATTGGAGTGCCCCTTGCATTTTGTGCCGGGGGTGTTATTTCTCTCCTTGTCCTGGTGCTGGTGGTGACCGGGACCAGGTCTGACTGTGGGGTTCTTTTGGGGTTGGCGATGGGGCACCTCTGAGGATGCAGAGACCTGTGGGGACCTGGGTGGGCGAGGGAGAGGAGGCTGAGCACACAGAAGGTGGGGGCAGCATGAGCTGCGGGCTGAGAAGTGTGGTCCTGGGCTTAAGAAAATGGTCAGGCCGGTGTGTCCACGGCCGAGGGGCTCCGGGGCTGGGGAGATGAGTGCGAGGGTGGCCGGCACAGAGCCAGGCCTGCCCTGGGCCGCACCCTTCCGCCTGCCCTATCCCCTGTGGGCCCTGGGTATATGCCTTGTGTTCGGGACCTCAATCTCAGAAGGAGCCTGCGCTTGGTTTAATGCTCTGCTGTCATCACCTCACAATCCTTAATGATTTTTGAACAAGCAGTCCCACGTTGTCCTTTGGGTCTGGGCCCCACAAGCCTCGGGACTGGCCCAGGCTGGGCAGCGCCGGCCATGTGTCGGGCACGCTGGGCGGGGGAGCTGGCCTCCGCCTCCGCCCTGCGCGCTGGGCGAGCTCGGGGAGGCGCTGCCTCCTGGGAGCCTCAGGTTATCCAGAGGAAAATGGCACTCGTGGTCCTTTCCTCTTGGGGTCCTTGGCAGCAGTGACCCCTGGGGTCAGGTGGCATGCGGGGGGGTTTGGAGAGAAGCCCCCCGCTCCAGCCTCTGCTCTGCTGCAGGTGTTTTGTGTGGCCTTGGGCCAGGGGTCTCCCTCTCAGGGCCTCTGTTCCAGCCATGGCATTGTTACCAACACTCTGACACTCCGACCCCACGCCCCACACGCAGACCAGGACCCAGGTGGGGTTCGGACCACACGCGGGGCCCTGAGAGAGCGGGGGTGTCCAGCCTCGGTGACGTACCTCTGGTGTAGGCTGCGTCTTCCCCCGGCAGCTGCTGCTCCGGCTCCACTTCCCCATCCCAGGGCTCTGGTCTGCAGTCGCCCAGTGCTTTGGATGTGTAAACTGAGGCAGACAGAGACAGCCCAGGGTCAGAGACTCCCATTGGAGGTCGGGGCTGAGGCCTGGGGACGCCTGGGGATGGAGGTCCAGAGGGGAGAGCCCAGGGAGGAGGGGTTCCTGGGACCCTGGCTCCTGGCTCCGGCCTGTGTTTCCTCCTTGACCTGCCCCGCCACCCACGCTGGCCCTGGCCACTTTTCCGGATTTTGAAAATTTGCTGATTCGCAGAATTGTGGACGAGATGTGGACTTTCTTCCCTGCAACCTGTTTACTAACTAGATTATCGGAAATAGAATGTGTTGAATTGCTTCCAGAAAGGTCGACTAAGACAAAGACAGATAATGTCACAACAGAATGACAGTTAAAGAGGGGGCCATGGAAAGGGAAGGAGCAGGTTGACTTTGGGGGACTTGTGCTCCTGGGCCCCCCTGGGCACCCCAGCCCCTCCAGTCCTGCCTTGTCCCCTTCTCCACCATGCGTCCAAGTGACTGTCAAGCCCCTGGAACGCGAGCTTCTGAATTCAGATGTAATGGAAATAGGGCGGCAGATGTGGCAAGTAAAAATACAGAGGCCCAGGTAACATGGAATTTCAGATAAACAAGAAATAAACTTTCAGTATGAGTCTATCTCATGCAATACTTGAGATGCACTTACACTAAAACTGTTTTTCATTATTTATTGGAAATGAAAAGTTACCCGGGCAGTATTTTATTTGGCAAATCTATCTGTAAGTGTTAAATACACACTAGATTTCAAGAAGTACAATAAAAAAGGGAAGTCAACTTGTCTCTCTCGTTAGTAATTTTACATGGATATGTGTTGAAGTGGAAGTATTTTGGACAGCTGGTGTTAAATAAGATATACTATTAAAATTTAATGTCACCCGATTCTTAAAATTTGTTTCACGTGGCTCCTGGCCCCTTTGGTTACACATTCCAGTCTCACCAGGCTTCTCCCCACTGGCACCTGCTGCTCGCCTCCCCAGGGTTAGCGCTGAAGGGCTCCCTGCGGTCCCGGAACCCACTCAGTCCGGAGCAGCCTGGACGGTTGGTCACCTGGAAGTGTTGCAAGGGGCTGGGCAGTGTGACACTTCCCTTGTGAGCCTCGGTTTTCCCGCCTGTGCACTCTCATTGCCGATGTGGGGCTTGCAAGGTGCAGCTGAGGGAAGGGGCCTGGCACACAGGGGGAGCCCAGACTCGGCAGTCTGTCCTGCTCAGTCACGGCAGCTCCTGCCCGCATCCTCCGGGCTTCCCCCGGGCCTCCTGCAAACTGCCTGGGAGGTGGGAACCAGTGGAAGAGAAGGCAGGGTGGCTGCAGGGAGCTTCTCTGGGGGCCCGGGTACTGAAATGGCTCTCCCCTGCCCCTATGTCAAAACCACCATCCCTGTCTCCCTAAGAAATCCCAGCACTCCAGGCCCCTCCTCCGACTTCCCTCCCGCCCTCCTCATCGCCTCCTCATCTCGTCTCCTTGTGCTGGCTCCCTCCGCTCTGCCACTTGCTGGGCACCTCCAGGAGCTGGGCACGGTGCACAGAAGTTTCTTTACACACAGATGAGGCTCATAAGCCAGTCTTGAGCCTGAGGTCACACAGCACAGGCAGCAGAGCTGGGGCTCAAACCCAGGGCTGCTACTGCAGAGCCTGGGAACCACCAGGAAAAAGGAGGACAAGGAACTAACAAGGGAACAAAGCTCCTTCTTGTCTCAGGTGCAAAGTCACGACCCAGGGACTCTCCTGAAGCACCCCCCGTCCCCATGGCCCCTTTTTATGAGGTGCCCGTGCTGTATGGCATTCCAGGGACCCGTGCATTTGATCCACACACCAGTTCAGTAAGGAAGGCATGGTGGTATTATGCTCTCATTCCACAACAGAGGAAACTGGGGCTTTGACAGTGCAAGATGTGGCCTCAAATCACTGCATGTGGCTGAGCTGGGACTGTGACCAGGTTCTGCTCAGTGCACTGGCATGACAAGACCAGGACCTTCCAGTCTACAACAGGAGGACTAATATTTACCCTGAGTGTCATTGTTTACGGAGTCTTTTTATTAACCGTGTTTCATTGATCTTACCGATGACCAGAGAGGTGGGCAAATATTTTCAATAACAAGTTTAGCTTGCAGATGAAGAAACCCAGAGCACCTTGCCCAAGGCCACATAGCCATGAAGTGGGGGAGGAGACTCAGGCTGCAGTTCGCCTGTGGCTGAGCCCACGCATGCTGCTCCAGGATGATGGAGTGAGAGGCCAGGTTCAGGGCAGGTTCATGACTGGGGAGTTACCACAGACCTCTGGGGAGACAGTGTTAATATTGGGGGAGGCCCGTGCCCTGGCCCCCCGCAGAGAGAGCAGGGAGGTCAGGAGCTAGACAGGGAGTGTGGGAGAGGCACCGGAAGGACTATCTGAACAAGGGTTAGTTTGCAGGTGTCCCAGCCACATTCTCTGTTTCTGGATTCCCATTTTTTCCTTAAAAATTAGGTGGAAAGTTTTGCTGAGAGTGAATGTACCTGTCCCAGTCAGGGTGGACAGGGAGTCCAGCCCGGGGGGTATGAAAGGCTGCTACTTTAAAGTCAGATGAAGCCAGGTTCTGGCTCCAACACCTTCAGCTGTGTCATTCTGGGCAGTGACTTAACCTCTGTTAGCTTCCAGGATTTTCTTGCATGGGAGTTACGGATAATGGCAGAACAGTGCTTCTCATCCCTGCTGCACAGCAGAGTCACTTGAGGGAATGTTTGAAGATATACTAACGCCCAGGCCCCAGGACCAGCAATTCTGACATCACTGGCTGTGGTGTGGCTAGATGCGGGGAGTTTCACTGGCTGGGTGCCTCTGTTCTTGAGGCTGTTGGAAGGATGAACTGAGATACAGTGTGGAAACCATGTGACCCATGGAAGTGGGCAGTATATTAGACCTCTTTCCACCGCAGCGGCCTGTCTTTTTGTGAACCACATTCTTGATGCTGTCGCAAGACAGTCATGAGGTCTAAAAGACAAAGATGTCTTCAGAAAAGGAGCAAGGGATAGAAAAAAATAATGACAGCTTCACTAAGTTGGTAAGGGAAAATGTCACCAAGTCCAGGAAGCACAGAGGGTCCCAGTTAAGATGAACCCAAAGAGGCCCAATCCAAGACACATTACAATCAAAATGGCCAAATTCAAAGACAGAGAGCAATGTTAAAGGCAGCAAGGGAAAAATAGCTAGTAACATACAAGGAAGCTCCGGTAAGGCTATTAGCTGATTTCTCAACAGAAATACTACAAGCCAGAAGGGACTGGAAAGAAATATTCCAAGTAATGAAAAGCAAAGACCTGCAACCAAGACTGCTCTATTCAGCAAGGCTCTCATTTCGAATGGAAGGTGAAATAAAGAGCTCCCCAGACAAAAGCAGGCTAAAAGAGCATATCTCCACCAAGCCAGCACTGCAAGAGATGCTAAAGGGACTTCCAGAAGGAAGAGGGGGGAGAAGAACACAGGTACAAAGGGAAAAAGTGGCAATGAATAGGTACCTATCAATTATTACCTTAGTGTAAATGGATTAAATGCTCCAATCAAAAGATATAGGGCAGCTGAATGGATAAGAAAACATGACCCACATATATGCTGTCTATAAGAGACCCACTTCCAAATAAAAGATGTACATACGCTAAAAGTGAAGGGATGGAAAAAAATATTCCATGCAAACAGACATGCAAAAAAAGCAAGGTTATAGCAATACTTATATCAGACAGAATAGACTTCAAACCAAAGGCCATAACAAGAGACAAAGAAGGGCACTACATAATACTTAAATAAGTAGTCCAGCAAAAGCATGTAACTCTTGTAAACATATATGCACGCATATAAGTGCACCTAAATATATAAAGAAAATCTTGGAGGACTTTAAGAAAGAGATAGACAGAAATACAGTCATTGTAGGAGATTTTAACACTTCATTGTCAATAATGGATAGATCTTCCCCCCAAAATAAAAATACTGCAGAATTGAATGACGCTCTAGATCAAATGGACTTCATTGATATTTATAGAACATTTCACACCGAAAAAACAAAATACACATTCTTCTCAAATGCACATGGATCATTTTCAAAGATAGAGCACATGGTAGAACACAAAACAAGCCTTAACAAATTCAAGAAACTTGAAATCATACCAAGCACATTCTCAGGTCACAATGGCTTGATACTAGAGACCAACCTCAAGAAATGCACCCCCACCCCCCAACATTCAAATACATGGAGGCTGAATAACATGTTATTAAATAATGAATGGGTTAACAATGAGATCAAGGAAGAAATCAAAAAGTATCTGGAAACAAATGAAAATGAACACACAACAACTCAAATCCTATGGGACATAGTGAAGGCAGCCCTGAGAGGAAAGTTCATAGGAATCCAGGCCTACCTAGAGAAGATAGAAAAATTTTGAACTACTGAACCCTGCATCTAAAAGAACTAGAGAAACAACAACAAACAAAGCCCAGAGCAAGCAGAAGGAAGGAAATGATCAAGGTCAGAGTTGAATTAAGTGACATAGATACTGAAAAAACAATTCAAAGGATCAATGAATCAGGAGCTGGTTCTCGGAAAAGATAAAATTGACAAACCATTAACCAGACTTATCAAGAAAAAAAGAGAGAGGACCCAAATAAGTAAAATCAGAAATGAAAGAGAAGAAGTAACAACTGAAACCACAAAGACACAAAGAGTTATAAGAAATTACTATGAACAACCATATGCCAAGAAATTGGACAATCTGGATAAATTTCTAGTAACAGCCAATCTTCCAAAACTGAACCAGGAGAAAGAATAAAACCTGAATAGACCAATAAAAATTAGTGAAATTGAAGCAGTAATCAAAAAACTCCTGGCATATAAAAGACCTGGACTGGATGGCTTCACAGGTGAATTTTACTAAACATTCAAAGAAGAACTAACCCCTCTCCTTCTCAAACTACTTCATAAAATTCAAGAGAAGGGAAGACTCTTTTTACAAGGCCAGTATTATCCTAATCCCAAA